AAGCATATGGGAGGTACAGTATGTAGAACAAAATAATTATTAGATTCTTTTTGTCCTTGGTCACTCTTTTCTGCTAAAATAGTGAGTGTCTCCAAAAGTGTTCATTGTCATCCTTTCTACTCTGTATCAGTATGAAGTTCTCATTTAGTCATTGCTTTTCATTCTAAGAAACAGTGATAAGCTGATAGCCCTTAACATTGAAATAATGTCTGTTTTTATAACACCCAAAGTGTGCTGGGCATTTTATAAACAAATAAGGACACTCTCTATCACCCTATCACTTCAAATTAGTAAATCTTGTGGGAGAAATGAACTATAAGGGATTGAAGGAGGAAAGGTTGCAGACATTGAGAGCCTTTTTCTGCAACATAAGCAGTAAAGACATGTTCAGCTCTAGAGGTAATCGGTTCAATCCCTGATATTGTCTATCCCGTCAGCCATAACACCAGCAGGTATCCCACAGTGACATCTTTGAAGAATGAGAGGTATGCGTCATCGTGGCAGAAATGACAAAACGAATATTTTACAAATGGGACTATTTTTAAGATTAGTTAGTTTTTCAAGCCTTTCGGCCTTGAAGTTATCCCGTTAAATTTGTAAGAATGTTTTAAATAATACATTAAAATGTAAGTAGAGTTGATTTGCTGGTTCTAATAGTAGATGGGATTGTCAGAAGTACAAAATGACTTTGGGACAGGAAATCTATTGAATGTGATTTCATTGACCCAATATCCTAGAATCATAGAATACTAGGACTGGAAGGGACTTCGAGAGGTCATTGAGTCCAGTCCCCTACCCTCATGGCAGGACCAAATACTGTCTAGACCATCCCTGATAGACATTTATCTAACCTACTCATAAATATCTCCAGAGATGGAGATTCCACAACCTCCCTGGGCAATTTATTCCAGTGTCTGACTACCCTGACAGTTAGGAACTTTTTCCTAATGTCCAACCTAAACCTCCCCTGCTGCACTTTAAGCCCATTGCTTCTTATTCTATCCTCAGAGGCCAAGATGAACACGTTTTCTCCCTCCTCCTTATGACACCCTTTTAGATATCTGAAAACTGCTATCATGTTCCCCCCTCAATCTTCTCTTTTCTAAACTAAACAAACCCAATTCCTTCAGTCTTCCCTCATAGGTCATGTTCTCTAGACCTTTAATCATTCTCGTTGCTCTTCTATGGACCCTCTTCAATTTCTCCACATCTTTCTTGAAATGCGGTGCCCAGAACTGGACACAATACTCCAACTAAGGCCTAACCAGCGCAGAGTAGAGCGGAAGAATGACTTCTCGTGTCTTGCTCACAACACACCTGTTAATGCATCCCAGAATCATGTTTACTTTCTTTGCAACAGCATCACACTGTTGACTCATAACTCCTAGATCCCTTTCTGCCATACTCCCTCCCAGACAGTCGCTTCCCATTCTGTATGTATGAAACTGATTGTTTGTTCCTAAGTGGAGCACTTTGTCTTTATTAAACTTCATCCTATTTACCTCAGACCATTTCTCCAATAATTACTAATCATTGTAATTATTAGTTGCTCTTTGATACAATAAATACTAAAAATATACTGTTTTATTTGCTGTGTTGTATTCCTCTTTTCTTTTAGGTGATTGAATACAACCCATCTCAGTGCCTGGATTGGCTGGCAGTACAAACACCTCGAAATAAATTAGCCCACAGTTGGGTGCTGCAAAATATGGAGAACTGGGTTGAACGTTTTCTTTTGGCACACAATTATCCTAGAGTGAGAACTTGTAAGTTTTATGCAAGTTAAAGAAATTGCCTCTTCAGATTATAAATTATTATATGTAATATTTTCTTCAAATGGAAATGGAATTTTCTTGTTATTGTGCGTATTTGACATCCACAGATTAATCACCTTGAGATAATTATCTTTAGTAAAGCTAATTTTCACTTGATTGAGACCTATTGTAGCTCATCAATAAATGTTATCTTTACTTTATGAAAAAACATAATTAGATGTATTAACCTGAATTATACATTTAAAATGTCTGTGTCTGTCATCGTTTAATAAGTATAGTCCAAATAGCTCATATGAGAGGTTTCAGGGGAAAGTGTAGGGGGTAATCCTTAGAATTTTCACTAAATACTTGCGTTCTTGGTATGAATTTTGCTATCCCTTTTACCACCGATCCCTGCGCCTCCCAAAGTTAGTAATTGCTTGAGCACCTTACCTTGCAGATCCCTTGGAAGTCTGCAGTAGATCCAAATTCTTCTGGGTCCCTGGTATTGTGATAGGAGTCTTGTTACCATGGTTGCCTCTGTCCTAGCTATTCCTAGAAACCTCACCTCTGTAGGAGTGGTGGTGGTGGTGGTAGTAGTAGTAGACTTCATTCTGTTATAATTGATTTTCTATGGCTTTGGGTGGGGAGATTGTGTAGAAACTGCATGTCATTTCAGCTCCCATTTATAGATAACATTGAAGATGTAGTTAGAGCTGTGTAATTAATAAGCATTTTAGTAATTATTTTAATAATTTTCACCTTCGCAACAAGCTGCAATGGGGATGCATTTTGTTCTAGAAGTTAGGGCAGGGCAACAAATGGGGAATTGGAATCAGAAGATGAGTTCTATTCTCAACTCTGCTCTTAACTCACTATATGACCTTGAACACCTCACGTGTTCTGTATGTCAGTCTTTCCATCTCCAGTTTGATTGTAATTATATTTACCCATCTTTATAAAGTGCTTTGTGATCCACTAGTGAAAAGCACTATAAATGGAAAGTAACAATATAAATATTAATTTGTATGTCCTATTTAAAGATTTAACAGGTTTGTTTTTTCTTTCATTTTGAAGCTGCAGCCTACCTTTTGGTATCACTTATTCCAAGCAATTCATTCCGTCAGATGTTCCGATCAACTCGAGCCTTGCATATCCCTACTCGTGACCTGCCTCTCAGTCCAGATACTACAGTAGTTCTTCATCAAGTCTACAATGTACTTCTTGGCCTGCTTTCAAGAGCGAAGCTGTATGTTGATGCTGCTGTTCATGGTACTACTAAACTAGTGCCCTACTTTAGTTTCATGACTTACTGTTTAATCTCAAAAACTGAGAAACTTATGTTTTCCACTTATTTTATGGACTTATGGAACCTTTTCCAGCCTAAACTTTCTGAGCCAGCTATCGCCACCAACCACAATAAACAGGCTTTGCTCTCTTTTTGGTATAACGTGTGTGTGGACTGTCCAGAGAATGTGCGCCTTATTGTACAGAATCCTGTGGTGACAAAGAACATTGCCTTCAATTACATCCTAGCAGACCATGATGATCAAGATGTAGTGCTCTTTAACCGTGGGATGCTGCCTGCCTACTATGGAATTCTGCGGCTATGCTGCGAACAGTCACCCGCATTCACAAGACAGCTGGCTTCTCATCAGAATATCCAGTGGGCCTTTAAGAATCTCACACCACATGCCAGTCAATATCCAGGAGTAAGTACATCTATGCTGAATAGATATTCTGATACTTGTTCTAAATGCCTTCTCAGTTATTGCATGACTGTAATTTTTTAAAATACTTTGAACTAGACAAAAACCAACTTACATATTGAAAGACAAAAATATTATTGAGTCTTGAGTTCCTGATATGAATAACTATAACACTTATAGGGCCAGCTCCTGAACACCAGTTCTTCTGTAGCAAAGCATCTGGGAGTAAAAAGGTATTTATAAGCAACTTTGTAGTTCCCACTGATCCTTAAGCTTCTGTATGCCAGTCTGGTCATGAGCAACAGTTAAGAGCAACCTTTCCTGTGAGATAAAGAAGGGGCATAGTGTAAAGCTAGATATACCTGGGGAATCTTTTAAACTAATTTTCCACCTGCTTTAAGCTGCTGGAGCAGACACAGAATTTGGTCTATTTGTGTCTTGTGCAAACAATGGGTAGTTGTTTGTTCCATTATTATAAAGTGTGTGTATCTCTTAGTTATTGTTGGTACGTTAACAATTCTCTGACCTTAAGAAAGAATGTTGTCCGCAATTTATTTTCTGACGTAAAATAATTAGCATGTCTTTTTGCAGGTTAATGCATATAATTATTTTAAAAGTTGTTTGAATTTATTAATTTGTTTTTCACTGCTTTATCTGGGATGTAGTCACTTTGCAGAATAGATTGGTATTGTAAATGGGGAGGAAACTACATGACCATCTGGGTGACATCAGATATATGGAAGGTATCTGGTTGAAACAAATAGTTCAACTTACTTCATCTTATTCATGTGGGCCTTAGACAGGATTTAGCTCAAATTGTTTTCTGATTCTTGAAAGTGGATTCTTGCAGTTAATAATTATAAACAGCTATATATCATAACTGCCAGATAATTTATTTGCTTTGCTGAAACTGACTTTCTCTTGCTCTAGTGAAGATCAAAGACTTCATAGTTACGTGGATCAGGATTTGTCAATGTTATGTATTTGTGCAGTTGTAGCAGTAATCTGCATTAATGGGCATTGAGATATCCCAAAATAATTGCTGGTATAAAGGGACATCTCAGTGTCCTTGGAATGTTAGGCATATGCCTATTCAGTTTGTTTTGAAAATATGTAATCTGGTGAATATTAGTTGATATTTCTCTCACTTCATACAGTAAAGGATGAATAAAGATAGCACTCTATAGAAAATGGTAGACATTTACTTAAGGGGGACGAATAGCTCAGTGGTTTGAGCATTGGCCTCCTAAACCCAGGGTTATGAGTTCAGTTCTTAAGGAGGCCATTTAGAGATATGGGGCAAAATCTGTCAGGGATGGTACTTTGTCCTGCTTTGAAGGCAGCAGACTGGACTTGATGACCTTTCAAGGTCCCTTCTAGTTCTAGGAGATAGGCATCTCCATTCATTAAAAAAATTACTTTTAATAAGATATTGCTTAAAGAATATCAATGCTATGTATTTTTCTGATTTTTTTAATCTCCTAAAATACATAAAAATATCATCTTCATTCAGACATGTATTTCACTTCAGTGTATTGCTTAATAGAATTAATGGACAATTGTGAAGAGGAGAATATAAATTGGTGTGGGAAATCTTGGGCATGTAGGTTGCACACAGTTCATCAGGATAATCCGCTAGCTGGCCACTAGACGCTTTGTTTACCCTGAGCATCCATAGGTATGGCAGCTCTCAGCTCCCAGTGGCTGTGGTTCTTCCTTCCCGGCAAATGGGAGCTGCAGGAGGTGGTGGCCCACCCCAATATAAATAATAGCTTATTAAAAAAGATTACCTTAATCCTAATGTTTGTTGTGTTTATTTTAGGCAGTAGAAGAGCTATTTAACCTCATGCAGCTGTTTGTAGCTCAGAGACCAGACATGAGAGAAGAGGAAATAGAAGACATAAAGCAATTTAAGAAAACAACCATAAGCTGTTATCTGCGGTGTTTAGATGGACGGTCTTGTTGGACTACTTTAATAAGGTATTACAGTACAAAGATGTTAGTGAAGCAACTTAATCTGGTTGAGTAAAAAGCTAAGAGTACTTTTTAGAATTTGAAATATGAATTATTTTTCAGTATATAGTTTGCTTTATTATATACACTTCATTTTGAAAAAATCTGATATCGTCTTTACTGTATTTTGACTTTGAAATAATATTGTAGTTTGTTTCTGAAATACAGAAATTTTCTCAATATGGATAAACCTATTGTGCGTAAAATAATTATATTTATAAGTTCCCATCATGTGAGGAACTAAATAAATATAAAACAGTAACTTTTAAAAACATACATTATTGTTATTCAAAACAGAATGTTACAAAGCTATATTATTTAAGCATTTTCTCTAACATAAAGCCTCGAAATTCAAAAATAAGGCTGAAATTTCATTCTATATCTTAACCCACCGTATTTTGTCAAGCTTGGTGAACATGGGGTCGGCAACACACAGCCCGCGTACCGTAAGTGGCACACGAGCCAATTTTGAGTAGGATGCGGCAGGACTGTATGATGGGCAGCTGCCCTGTGTGCTGCGGTTGGAGCCAGGTCACAGTGAGGCTATTTCTGCTGGGGTGGCCTCACCATGGTCCCTGTTCCTACTCTGCAGCAGCCACGCGACTGGCTAGCAGGGCTGTGTGGCAGGCGACTGTTCCGTATGCCGCAACTGGAACCACGCTGTGATGAAGCTGTCCCTGCTCGTGTGCACAGCCCTGGTTCCTGCTCCAGGGGAGCCGGGGTCTGGCCGGAGGGACTGTGTGGCGGGCAGCTGCTCCGGGGCGGCCAGGCAACGTGGTGGAGTGGGGCTGGTGAAGTTGCATGCAGTTGCCAGAACTGCTGTCATTGGGCCCCTACTAGAGCATGAATGCTGCCTGGGCTGCAGCTCCAGGGCTGGACGGCAGCAGGGGCAGGCCCTACAGGGTGTGTGGGACTCCCCCACTGACCCTGCGCTCCTTGCGGGACTTCTACTTGGAAAACCAGCGTTAGCTGCAACCATTTCAGTCCCCACTCGCACCATTTAAGCCAGTTCCCCCCAACATGGCTCCTGTTTTTCCCCTCCCCTCTTGCTGCCTCTCTCTGATAGAGGCAGTAAGGAGGGTAAGCGACTAGTCGCGTCACTAGTCGTTTTGCGTCACTAGTCGTTTTACATCCCTAGAGCAGAGCCAAGGGTAGGAAATGAAACAGGGCACATGCGGTGGAGAGAGCCTTCTCCACTCCCCCCCAGGAGAGCAGCGCAGCCCAAGGTAGGAGGGTTAAATCTTGGCATACCACTTTGGAAAGGTTGCTGACCCCTGATGTACAATGTGACAGCTTACCCACTCTGGTAGAATTGTGGAGAACGAGCAAGGTAGAAATGGTGGCTTAGGGCTGAATTTTCTACTTTGAGATTTTTTTTTAATACATCACATCTACAAAGAAATTAAAATTCCTAGGTGCATCTTTTTGAAATTTTAGCCCCATGTTGAACTAATGGCTCTTTTCCATTTAATTTATGGATATGACCATAAAATGATTGAGTTGCATAGGTTACAGCATTGGGAGAGTGAACCAGCCATAGATGGGCTGGAATGCTTTTATGAGAAAAGAAAAACTCCTTACCCTCCCCCCAAGCACACACACACATTCATTTATCTTAGAATGGAAGCAGATACTCTACATAATTGGGTGCTCAAACTTAGAAGTATTTGTGTGTAATTATTATTTTTTGCAAATACTCTGCTGTAATGCTTTATTTTCCACAGAAAATGCCCTGCAAGCCATTTTTTTGAGTGAAAGAAATGACAGCACTTTTATGCATACAGCTCCTGATTAAATCGGAGGGAATGTGTATTAATGGGGGTAGAAGATGAATGTTTAAATTATTGTGAGAACAAGAACTATTCCCTGACTTCTTTTACAGCTCATAATTCTTCTTAGTGTATAGTTGACCTTTAATTTGAGTGTTTAATTAAATGCTCCACTAATGAGGCAAAAATCCATTATTTCTAGTTATACTATATGCTTAAATTCCTCTTAGAGAAATATTTCTACCATTTTTCATTCTCAAATATGTGCTTAACTCCTCCTTACTACGAACCTCAAATGCATCTTTTAATAGTTTGTTTTCCTTAGGTTTTTAACACTTTGAAGTCATTATTTGTTAAAATGCCTTTGGAGAGATTGTTCATAAATTACTTTTTAAAAGATACATTTTTTTAAAAGATGGTCATTGCCATCTGTCAAAGCAGATAGATTTAGGAGTACTAGAAACATTTCTAAACGAATAAAATGAAAGGACTGAAAGTAATAATATTGATCTCATTTTCTCCTCATCTGTGCTCATGCCTTAAAATAGTGTCACTAATGCTGAATTTAATTGTTCTTTCAGTGTTTGCTGCTATTGTTTCCAGTGTAGGTGTCTTGCACTCCATATGCACAGTTGGCAAAAAAACTCTTGACTTAGCAGTATTCATAGGGCTGGTGGTGATGCTCTCTAGAGAGCCATGTTCATGCTGCAGTATATCAGGCACTGTTGGCCCTATGCCTCCTCGCTTCCTTCTTACTGCTGGTGGTGTTCAGTTGGAGGCCCTCTGTCCCTTGTTTTGCAAGAGGACAACAGTTTCCCTTCTATTTTAGCCTTGTGCATCTAACTGCAAACAGTTTAATTGTTTGTTAGTTGTCACTTTAGTACCCATTAAGTGTTTAGGGTCCCAGTGGGATCTTTGCCCCAGTCTCAGAGTTTTAAGACACACTTTTTGTGTAACAGACCCATGCCAGTTAGACACCAACACAGAAGTTGTCTATAGTGACATAAAAAAGCTGTCTTGCATCTGCCAGAACTTTCGTTCTCAGACCCAAAGAGCACGACATATGCCTTAAGACCTCCTGATATGGGTGGCTCTCTGCCTAGCTTTGGAGCTGGCCCTGCCTGAGCTGGCACTCAGTGTGTCAACTTCAGTGCGTTGTACACTCCTGGCACTTGACTCCTCCTGGAACCAATTCTCATCGCCAGTGCTCAAGAAGTCGTCTGAGGTAGTATTGAGCAAGCCCAACCAAGGGGCATTGGGCAAAAAAAGGGCTTAGCTGTTGAGAGTTTTCTTCCCCCACAAGAACCCGCCACTGACTCCAAGGAGCGGTAAAGGGTCCAAGCCAATGGTGCAGTCAACACCTGCAGAGCATCTGGTGCTTGAAGAGCTAAGAGCACCCATCTCAGCACTGTGGATGTCAATGGAACCAGCTAAGGCTCCTTGTGAGGGCAAGCCCTACATTAAGGCTTCACATAAAATGAGCGGGTGCTATGAGAACCCAGAGCCAAGACAGGCTCCTAGATCACTGTGTTCTTGGTCTTTGCAGCAACTCAGGTCTCTGGCACATTGGTACGAGTCATCAGCACTGCATTCCAGATCTCCCTCTTCATACCAGAGCTCCTGGGACAGGCTAGTGTTCTGAAGCCAAGAACTGTGCTGCATAACCACTGCTGAGGCGATCACCCAGCCGCCAAATTGGCTGCATTCCAGGCCATTTGTGTCATTCTTTGTCTTGTTGTCAGTCACCGTCGCTGAGACCTTGAGGTCACTCCCCGACATGGCACTCCTCTCCCTACTCCTGGCACTTTTCTTGGCACTGGTCACTGATTACGACAGTGAACCGACAAACTTAGGCCTTCATAGGCCTATCTTGGTCTCTGGAGGGGACGACTTCTCTGGCTCAGAAGCACAGTTCCACCCTTCGCCCAAACAGCATCATGATTGGGCTCCAGAGGTTGCATCTATGACATTGGTGCCCACGAAGCAGCGAGGCCATTGGCTATTTTAATGGCTTTATTGGAATTCCTAGGGCATTACCATTGTACTTTTGCCCCATTCCCACCAGCCTTCAGCATCAAACAGGCTGAAGTCGGCAGCAACAGCACCAAGATAGGTGCAGAATGCTCCAGTGGCCATGGCAGGGCAGGATCTGGTACTCATCCTAAGGCCACCCTCTCCAGTAGGTGAGGATAGGGCTGCGCCTCCCGCCCCCAGCCATTCAATAATCCTACTCTTCTGCACACGAGGCAGTGGCAGGCCTCTTAAGATTTAGCCTGGTGGATGTTTTTAAGGAGCATTAGGTGCTACACCCACAGGGTGGCATCCAACTTGGACCTCAAAGTGGAGGAGTAGACTTACACATTGTTTAATGCGCTCTCAGTCCGAATCTACCCCACCCTGCAAACACACTTCTGGTATGAGGGGGTCCTGAACATTGCCAAGACCATCTGGCATACCCTGTCCTCTGTCACCCAACTCTAAGAGGCTGGAAAAGAAGTACTTTGTCCCTGCAAAAGGTTTTGAGTACTTGTATACCCACCCACCACGAGATCATTGGTCATTTCTGCAGCCAACAAGAGGGACAAACAAGTCCCCACCAGTTTTACCCCAAAGAATAAAAAAGCCAAAAGACAGGACTTGTTTTCATTACAAAATTTCTTCTTCAAGTGCTTGCTTATGTCCATTCCACTAGGTGCATGCGCGCCGCGGCACAACTCCCAGAACTTTTTTACCCTTAGCAGTACCCGTTCGGTCAGCCTGGGGAGCCCCCTAAAGTGGCACCGCTATAGCCGCACATATATACCCCTGCTGGCCCCAACCCCCCTCAGTTCCTTTTTACTGCCTGTGACGGTCAACCAGAACGCTTGTCTTGTCCTTGGCGTTTTTTCTCTTAGTGTAAATAGTTCTCTTTGTAGTTGGTGTCTGTTCTTTGTTTTGTATAGTTAGAGTGTTTAGGTAGTTCTCACCTCCCCTCTGTTATGGGGGGATGGTATTCCGAGGCCGCAAGGCTTCAAACCATGTTGGCGTTGTTCTAAGCCTGTGCCCCACGGCAACCTGCATAAAGACTGTTTAAAGTGCTTGGGCGAGGGGCACCTTACAGACACCTCTAAAATTTGCAAGTCGTTTAAGCCCCGTACTAAGAAGGAGCATGATTCCCGTCTTAAATTTATTCTGATGGAGTCAGCGCTCCAACCCGCGGCTCCGGACACTGTCAGTATGAAGTACTCTGTGGTCGGTGCGGGACACTGGGCACCAGGAGAAGCGCTCCTCGGTGCGGGACCACCGGCTGGTTCCACAGCACCGCTCTCAATCCCTGAGCCCGCAGTCACACAAGAAGGTACGCAGAGGCAGGTAGCCTTCAAGAAGGGAGGTGCGACATAAGGAAGGGTGCCCCACCTCTCCGGCGCAGGAGCGGCACAGCAGGGGACCTAGCTCTCACAGGGAGAACAGTCCTTATTCTCTGGGCCTGTCCATGGAGGAGGTCCGTCCACCGTTGATGCCGGAGATGTTCCTGTCGGCACAGGAACTCATTGAGCTCATGACAGCCCCTGGTCCGGCACCGCGTGCCTCCGACACCCGGTCCAGTCATGACAGACAGGGTACTCAGCCCTCTTCAGTCCTGCCAGCACCGCCACCACCTGCTCTGGAACTGCTCGCCTTGGCTCTGCCAACAATTTTGGTACCGCCCGTCGTGTTGGTACCACCCGTTGTTCCCAGTGCCGCCCACCCAGTCAGCGAGGTCAGGGTCGGTTGGTTCCTCTTCGTATTCAGGATGCAGGTCAGCCCCTTCTGCCACTCTGCTGATGAGAGTGGAGTCGGAGTGCAGGGCTAGCCCCCCAGGGTTGATCAGAACAAGTGTTCCGCCTCCCCCGCCCCAAAACAGTCTTTCTTTCGATACAGGAGTTGGGGGCCGGGGTCCTGCACGATAGGCCGGTGGTGAGGAAGTAGTCTTCCTTGTCTCCAGATGAGGCCTTGTCTCCTCTGATGCCCTCCATGGACGCGAGGGCCCACCAAGACCTCCTCAGAAGCCTGGCCCAGAACCTGGGGGTACAAGCCGAGGAGGTAAAAGAGGATGAAGACCCGGTGTTCGACATCATCACGGCAGAGGGCCCTACTAAGATCACCCTCCCGTTGAACAAGATGGTGAAAATTACAAAGACCCTCTGGCAGATTCCGGCCTCCATACCTCCTACGCAGAAGGGGGTAGAAAGATGGTACTTTGTCCCCCAGGCAGGCCACAAATGTTTATTCTCACATCCCCGCTCTGATCGACAGTGGTGCAGGTGGCCTGCCAGAGGGAGAAGCAGGGACAGACAAGCCCCACACCCGAGAGCCAGGAGCCCAAAAAGCTCGACCTCTGGGGTCAGAAGGCGTATGCGACGGCCGGCTTACAGCTGAGGATAGCCAATCAGCAGGTTATGCTCAGTAGGTATGGCTTCAACACCTGAGTAGTGGCTGATTAGCTCACGGCCTCACAGCAAGAGTTTGCGGTAATTACTGAGGAGGGCAAGATGGTCTCCAGGTCAGCCCTTCAGGCCACTCTCGACACGACTGACTCTCCTGCCCGGGCCATGGCTACCGGTATTGTGCCGGAGCTCTTGGCTTCAGGTGTCTGGAATCCCCCCAGAGGTGCAGACGACCCTGCAGGACCTTCCTTTCGAGAGGACTGGCCTTTTTTCAGAGCAAACCGATAGCAGGCTCCATAACCTGAAGGACTCCAGGGCAACCTGAAATCCTTGGGCTTGCGCACCCCGGATCCCCAGCGCTGCCCTTTGAGCTCCCGGGGGAAGAGGAGCTATGGTCAGGGGGCCAGGTTTGACAACAGGCGCAGGACCAGGGGTGGTTCTGCCCGAAATAAGAGGAGGCGTTCTCGTTCGGGCTCGGACCACAATCAGGGGCCATCCAATAAGTCCCAGGGCCCCAGGTCAGGTGATTGATGGTATGCCTGAGGACAACACACCAGCCCCCAGTATAGAGCGACCCTTTTCGGACAGACTGTTCCCTTTGCACCAGGCCTGGTATACCATCACATCAGACTGTTGGGTCCTGGAGGTGGTGGCAAGGCGATATTCTATCCCTTTCCTGTCCCTTCCTTCCTCCTGCCTCCCTTTCCTGTCCCTTTTCAGGGACCCCTCTCACGAGCACCTCCTCCAGCAGGAAGTTTCTGGGGGCAGCAGAAAAGGTTCCTCTGGGTTTCAGGAACAAGGGGTTTTATTCCCACTACTTCCTCGTCCCGAAGGCCAAAGGGGGCCTTTGCCCCATTCTGGACCTCAGAGGGCTCAACGCCTTTATGAAAAAATCAAGGTTCACGATGGTAATGTTGGCCTCCATCTGCTCACTCGATCTGGGAGACTGGTATGCCGCCCTCGAACTATGGGATGCATACTTCATATTTCCATTTCCCCCCACCACAGGAGATTCCTGAGGTTTGTTGTGGGGTCCCACCACTACCAGTTTGCCGTGCTACCCTTCGGTCTGTCCACTGCACCAAGGTGTTTACAAAGTGCATGGCTGTGGTGGCGGCTTTCCCGAGAAGGAATGGGGTCCATGTCTACCCCTACCTGGATTGGCTTATTAGAGGGAAGTCGAGGGAACAGATTTCCCAGTTCATAGATGTAGCCAGGCAGACCTTCTTGAGGCTCGGACTGTGGCTGAATGAGGCGAAGTCTACACTCATTCCTACCCAGGTCATAGAATTTGTGGGGGTGAGGCTAGATGCCACAACAAGGAGGGCCTACATTCTGGACCCTAGGTTCCAGTACATAAGGGGAACGGTCCAGGAACTGCAGTCTGCTCATTTAACCACGGTGAGGCAATGTCTGAGGCTGATGGGCCACATGGCGGCATGTACATACATCGTGCGGCATGCCAGACTGCGACTACGGCCTATGCAGGCCTGGATGACAAAGGTGTACAAACCAGCCCGCAACCATATAGACAGATTGGTCACCGTTCCCTCTGATGTCCTGTCGGCGCTGGACTGGTGGACAAGGGAGAGCGAGGTGTGTAGCGGAGTCCAATTCGCGCAGCCCCTACCGACGCTGCAGCTGAGGATGGACGCCTCAGATGCTGAATGGGAAGCCCACCTGGGGGAGTTCAGAACACAAGGTATGGGTCCAAGGTGAAGAGAAAATGCCATATCAATGTCAAGGAACTGAGGGCAGTGAGGCTCACATGACTAACATTCCTTCCCCGTCTGCGGGGCGCCTGTGTTTCCGTTCAGACGGACAACATGGCCGCCATGTACTATATCAACAGACAGGATGGTGCTCACTCCTCTCCCCTCTGCAAGGAAGCGGTAGCCCTCTGGGAGCTGTGCATTGCACACGACATCCATCTGCAGGCAACCTGTCTCCCGGGAGTCCACAATACTCTGGCAGACCGACTCAGCCGTGCATTTGCGGCCCCTGAGTGTGGTCTCAAGCAGGAGGTGGCCAGCTCGCTTTTTCGCCGGTGGGGTACTTCCCTCCTCTACTTATTTGTGTCAGGGTGCAACAGGAAATGCCCCGCCTTCTGCTCGTGTTGGGGGAGGTAACCGGGGGTCTCTGGGGGACGCCCTGACGTTACGGTGGCCAAGATATCTGCTGTGCATCTTCTCCCCCTTTCCCCTCCTTCATGAGGTGCTAATAATGGTCAGACGCTATGGAGTGACGCTGATCCTCATCGCGCCAGCGTGGCCTCGTCAACATTAGTTCACCACTCTCCGGAACCTCCTCGTGGAGGACCCCATCCCACTTCCCCTGGTCCCAGACTTGCTGATGCAGGATGTAGGCCAGGGCCTCCTGTGCCACCCGGACCTCTGTTACCTGCATGTTACATACCCTGGACATCAAGGAGGCACTGTCCTTTTACATAGTTAGAACAAAGCCATTCCATAAGTTAACACAATTGTTCGTTACTGTCAGAGATATCATGAAGGGCTGGCCAGTGTCTGTCCATAGAATATCCTGATGAATTACAGTCTGCATGTCCTACTGTTATGAGCTGGTAAAGCTGCCCCGCATCAATTCATTTGACTAGCGTGCAAGCATACTCAACAGCCTTCCTTTCTCAAGTGCAGATTTAAGAGAGGCTGCAACCTGGTTGTCCATTCACATGTTCACTTTGCACTATGTGCTGAACCAGCAAGCTCAAAATGACATTGATTTTGGCAGAGTCTGCAAAACTATAAATTCCAAGCCCACTTCTGGAGATACTGTTTGTTAAGTACCTGCAATGGAATCGACATGAGCTACCATTCAAAGAAGGAAAAATGGTTCTCCATCTTTCATAACTGTTTTTCTTTGAAGTGTGTGGCTCATGTCCATTCCATTACCTGCTTGTCTGTCGGAGTTGTCCACAAGAAGGAACTGAGGAGACATAGGGCCAGCAGCAACTGTTATGCTGTGGCATGAGTGCAGCACTCGTATGGTGCCACAGCCAGTCTATGGATACCGCTAAAGAAGAAGTCTGACAACCATGCACATGGGCGCAGGCACACACCTACAATGGAATGAAAATCAGCAACATATCTCAAAGAACAACAGTTACAAAAGATAGGCAGCTGTTTTTTAAGACATTCTGAGAATTATGAAAAATTGATATTTTAAACCTGGGTTTTTCAGTGTTTAAATGTTTTTCTTTTCTAGTGCCTTCAGAATATTATTAGAATCTGATGAAGACAGACTTCTTGTTGTGTTTAATAGAGGCTTAATCCTGATGACTGAGGTAAATATTTCATTGTCATTTAATTCAAATGAGCATCTTCCTTCCCCATTGACTTATCTCAGAGAATTGGGTGTCATCACTTCCTTAATTGATATATATGCTTGCTTTAAGTACTTTTTTTAAATACAGCCATTTTAAAACTATCTGCAAAAAGGGGAGTGGGCTGATCAAATCTTAGGATACTTCTAAGAGCAGACAACTTAAAGAGTTCATTGCTATCCAGGTGATCTCAGAAGTATGAATTTTTCAGTGAGGGTGATGTTAATAACTAAAGCTATAGAAAAAAGTTACTATAAAAAACTTAAACCTTTCCTCTTCTTGATGAAAATAAATCACAAGATCAAAGCTCTGCAAAAAGGAAATCTATTAAACTATATCGCAATTGCTAATGAAGTGGGGATTTAAATCTCCCCCGCTTCATTAGCATAAAAATGGGTGACGCTTTTTTTCCGCACGGAGCTTTGCCGGAGAAAAGCGCCAGTCTAGACGCTGATCTTGCAGAAAATAAAGCCTTTTCCGAAAGATCCCTTATCCCTTATTTCATGGAGGGATAAGGGATCTTTCGGAAAAGGCTTTATTTTCTGCAAGATCAGCGTCTAGACTGGCGCTTTTCTCCGGCAAAGCTCCGTGCGGAAAAAAAGCGTCACCCATTTTTATGCTAATGAAGCGGGGGAGATTTAAATCCCCACTTCATTAGCAATTGCGATATGTCTAATTTACATCCCTTTTACGAAAAAGGGATGTAGTCTAGACGTAGCCTACTTGTTTTGGAATTTTTGCTAGTTTCCTTTTGCCTCTTAGAAATGTTTAGCTGTAAGAAATTTGAGGTAACAAATTTATGAACTAAACTCTAACTAAATATTCCTATATCAAATTTGGGTTTTTGTTTTTTGGCACAGCATATTACAAAGATATGTCTAGAAATAAAGTGTAACTAAATTTATTGCTGAACAGTTAGGTTAGCCTTCTAGTGACAGGGTGCTAGTCATGGATAAGTAGCTTCATGCAGAAAGACTGGATCCAGTGTTAGCCTAACTCCATGAAAGGCAGTAGCAACTGGATGAAGGCCACAGCGTGATACAAGTACTTTCTTGTCACAGCTGCTCTTCAATTTGTAACCACTGTACTATATTTAGACAATATGCTATTACTTGTCTGCTAAAGATGTTTGTCAGCAGAATAGATTTCCTTACTGCAGAGGTTTGACAGTGTATCCTTAATCTTCCACCTAGTTTAAATATAGATCATAATTAAGGTTTTTCTTCAAGGAGTGTCCCTGTGGGCGCTACACTATAGGTGTTTTGGCGCTCCTGCGCTTATAATCAGAACTTTTTAGCAGCAGTATTCCCCCCTGGGTGCTGGTGCACACGTGTGGCTTGCACCGCAGCGAATGTGCCAATGCGCGCACCGTCAGCCGTCCCTCAGTTCCTTCTCAACTGCTCTCGGCTTGGTCAGAACCCAGCAGCACTCTGTGCTTATTTCATAGTGTTAGTTGTTAATTAGTAGATAGTGATTAGATAGTATTACATCTTTAGTCTTGTTACAAGTTTTTTCTCCCCTTTAATTGTTAGTGTTTAAAAAAAACATTTTCCCCCTCTTTGTTACTGGTTTATTAGGAATAGTGTAGTGATGCCAGGCTCCCCAGGATTCAGAAGGTGCCTGACATGCAGAATGTCTGTTCCCATCTCTGATGGGCATGCCCAGTGCATCCGTTGCCTGGGACAGGATCATTTTCCGAAGAGCTGCCACCGCTATAAGAAGCTCTCTTCCAGCTGCAGCTCTCTTGCTTTCAAAGATCTAAAACTTCTCACCATGGGGAATCCAGAGAGCCTAGCCTCAGAACCGGTATCGCAGACTTCTCCAGCTCGTACCTCCAGTCAAGGAAACAGCTAAAAGGAAACATTCCTCGCCCTTGGCCGATAGGCCACCCAAAAGGTAATCCCTTCAACAGAAGCCTTCCTAAACATCCAAGATACAGGCTTCGGGGGATATGCAGGCACAGGGGACACCCAGTATGGACAAATCCCAAGGGACACTGTCCTCTAAAGATATATGCCCTGAAGTCTTTGCACGAAAGCCGGCGAAGACTGCCCCTGCACCATTGATACCAACAACTTTGTCACCCAAACCACTGCATCAGACCGTGGCTAAGAACCACAGATACAGATGCTGACTAAGATGATACCAGTACCTCATACCAAAGTTTCCCCAGTACCAACCACATCGAAGACACAAGACGACTCGGTATCACAAAGAATGCTGTCCTCTGCACCGGTGGTACCAGACTTTCTGCTGTCAAGGCTCCTCACCACTCATCAGGAGCTGGTGGTCGCATCAATACTGCTCACACTATTATTTGGGTACCAAAGTTATACCTGCATTAGAGGGCCCAAGCACACTGGCTACACTATCAAACTCGACCCCACCTTTTTCTAGTGATACTGAAGATGATGAAGAAATCTCCTTCTCACCACCACACTTGTCTCCAAAACCATCGTCTCAGCTGCAGCAACAGCAATGGCAGAGCCAGCCCCAGATATGGCAACCATTTCCATGGTTCCCTCCCATCCCACTCCCATAATCTTGGCAGGGATGGGATCTGGGGCTCCGTGAGAGCTCAGGCAGCACCATCGCTATTGACAGCAGTAGTTAGACCTTGGGCAGTGGTCCCTAAATTACCTACATCCACCAGATCTGACATTACACAGGAGGAGATGGAAGATCTGGAGGAAACACAGGAGGAAGACACCTTACCTCCATCACACCTCTCCTTTCCTTCTTCGGACAAGTTGATAATGCCCCCTGAGCCAAGAGTGGGCGAGTTGATAATGCCCTCTCCACCAACAGCAGGTGACAACTTCAAGTCCTTTCAGGACCTGTACAAGAGAGTGGCCAATTCCCTTGACATTTCCTTAGTCAAGGTTCCTGAAGTTCAGCACAAGTTGACCGTTGTCTAAAATAGCCTTTCCAGTCAATGAGGCCATGCTGGACCCTGCAAAAATTTTGTGGCAAACATCAGCCTTGATTTCCCCAACCTCAGAAGGGAACTACTATGTTTCTGACAGGAAATACTATGTTCCTATGAAAGGGACCGAATTTTTGTTCACCCACCTGATACCAAACTCGCTGGTGGTGGATGCAGCCCGCACTAGAGGCAAACAGATCCAATATAAATCCGCTCCTTATGACAAGGACTGGAAGACACTGGACATTTTGGGTAGGAAATCATACTTCTCAATATCCCTCTAAATCAGGTTAGTAAATTATTCAGCATTGCTAACAAAGTTCACATACCATCACTTCAACAAATGAAGCCTTTATTGAGTAGTTGCCTAAGGACTTACAGATCTTCATTCAAGTCCAACATAGATGGAGTCCTCATAGCAAAAACATCACTGCAGGTGTTGCTGGATGCATCTGACACTGCCGCAAGGTCATTGGCAACATCTGTGGTCATGTGTCGGGTCTCCTGGCTGCACCTCTCTGGAATCCCTATGGAGATATAGAACACGCTTGAAGCTAGAACCTTTTTTCTGCCACCACAGTTGCTTCTCTGCACTTGTGCAAGGATTCGCGAGCCACACTCAACACTTTGGGTATGTATGTCCCTTAACTCAAAAGAAAAGGAACCACCTTTACACACCACGAGGCAGGGCATCATCATCATACTCTTCAAAGAGAGGTTACAACCTTAGACGTCGGCAAAGACAACAGAAGCATAGGCAGCTTCAAGACCAACCCGACATGTCCTAGTCCTCCAATGGCAGGCAGACATTTTGAACATCTGGTCAAGGGTTCCAACAGCCAATTGGTACCGGTTCAGCCTTCAACCATTCTACTATTCATGGGCCAAGATTAGAACGGACAGGTGGGCCTTGGAGATAATAGCAAAGGCCTCAGGATTCTCTTCCTTACCATTCCACCAATCCAACCCTCTTCCCTGTCCCTTTTCAGGGACCCCTCTCACAAGTCTCTGCATCTACAGGAGATTTACAAACTACTCCACATGGGGGCAATAGAGCTCATGCCAGCACATCAAAGGGGAAAGGGCATTTAGTCCAGATACTTTCTCACTCCAAAAATCAATTTGGGAGGTTGGAAACCCACCATGGGCTTACTCAGGCTGAACAAATAAAAAGACAGTGATTCACCATGGTAACCCTAGCAAAGATAATTCCAGCCCTGGAAAAAGGAAACTGGATGTCATCCCTTGACATAAGGATGCATACTTACACATAGCAATTCGGCATTCACACAGAAAATTCCTCAGGTTCACTTGAAAGGATCAACACCATCAATACGGAGTCCTGCCTTTCAGCCTATCTTCTGCACCCTCAGTTTTCTCCAAGATCCTTGCTGTGGCAGTGGCCCATCTAAGAAAATCAGGAATAGTAATTTTCCCTGCCTGATAGTAACTCCTGTGGAAATATCTGCACGTATCTGGAAGAAAATAAGATGATAGATAACAGCCAGCATGGATTTGTAAAGAACATATCATGTCAAACCAATCATATAGCTTTCTTTGATAAGATAACAAGTCTTGTGGATAAGGGAGAAGTGATGGACTTGGTATACCTAGACTTTAGTAAGGCATTTGATACGGTCTCGCATGATCTTATCAATAAACTAAGCAAATACAACTTAGATGGGGCTACTATAAGGTGGGTGCATAATTGGCTGGATAACCATTCTCAGAGAGAAGTTATTAATGGTTCACAATCATACTGGAAGGGCATAATAAGTAGGGTTCTGCAGGAGTCTGTTTTGGGACCAGTTTGGTTCAATATCTTCATCGACGATTTAAATATTGGCATAGAGAATGTGCTTATTAAGTTTGCAAATGATACCAAGCTGGGAGGGGTTGCAACTGTTTTGGAGGATAGGGTCATAGTTCAAAATTGGTCTGGACAAACTGGAGAAATGGTTTTAGGTAAATATGATGAAGTTTAGTAAGGACAAATGCAAAGTACTGCACTTAGAAATGAAGAATCAGTTTCACATATACAGACTGGGAAGCGACTGTCTAGGAAGGAGTATGGCAGAAAGGGATGTAGAGGTCATAGTGGAACACTTGCTAAATATGAGTCAACAGTGTGGCACTATTGCAAAAAATGCAAACATTATTATTGGATGCATAACAGGAGTGTTATGAGCAAGACATGAGAAGTCATTCTTATGCTCTACTCTAACTGATTAGGCCTCAGTTGGAGTCTTATGTATAGTTCTGGGCACCACATTTCAAGAAAGAGGTGGAGAAATTGGAGAAGGTCCAGAGAAGAACAACAAGAATGATTAAAGGTCTAAAGAATATAAGCTATGGGGGAAGACTGAAAGAACTGAGCTGGTTTAGTTTGGAAAGGAGAAGACTGAGAGGGGACAGACAAGATACTGAAAAAAATGTTCATCTTGGAGAAAACTTGTTCATCTTGGCCTCAGAAGATAGAACAAGAAGCAATGGGCTTAAATTGCAGCAAAGGAGGTTTAGGTTGGACATTAGGAAAAACTTCCTAACTGTCAGGGTAGTTAAATACTAGAATAAATCGCCTAGGGAGGTTGTGAAATCTCCATCTCTGGAGATATTTAAGAGCAGGTTAGATAGAAATCTATCAGGGATGGTCTAGACAGTGCTTGGTGCTGCCATGAGGGCAGGGGACTGGACTCGATGACCTGTCAAGGTCCCTCCCAGTTCTATAATTCTGTAACACCACATCCGAAATTTTCTCCTGAAGATAGTTTCCAACTTCCACCTCAGTGAACCTGTGTGCTTACCTGTTTTCCGCCAAAAGCCTCATCCTGATGCTAATGCAGCGTAACACCACTCTTTGGATGTTCAGCGGGCAATTGCTTTTTACCTAGATAGAACAAAGCAGTTCAGACACTCTTCCAGATTGTTCGTTTCCAAAGCAGATCACTCCAAAGGGCATGCGATTTCAAAACACAGGCTTTCAAAATGGATAACAAACTGTATTAAAGCTTGGTTTGACATCGGTAAGGTGGCACTACCAACTCAGTTGCGGGCACGCTTCACCAGGGCAGTGGGCACCTCCATGGCCTTCATAACATGCCCATCAAGGATAGCAACACGGGACTCTACACATACCTTTATAAAACATTATGCTGTAGATACATGTCACAGTATATCAGGTTTGCGGTGGCAGTCCTCTCCACCGTCCATCAGTGAGGTCTGAAGCCCCTCCTTCCGGATGCTCATGGTACTGTTCCGTAGTCGCCTACAGTGGAGTGCCCACAGGGATGCTCCTTGAAGAAGAAAAGAGAGATTGCTCACCTTGTGCACTAACTGATGTTCTTGAGATGGGTGTCCCTGTGGGTGCTCCATGATCCTCCTCTCTGCTTCGGAGTTGCAACATCTTTCTGCAGTGGAGAAGAAACTGAGGAATGGTTGATGGCGCTTGCGTGTTGGCATGTTTGCTCCAGCACAAGTGGTGCTGCACATGTGCGCCAGCACCCAAGGGAATACTGTTGCTAAAATGTTCCGATTATAAGTGCAGGAATCCACATCTCGAAGAAATTACTGCACAAGGAAAGTAACCTCTTTTTTTTTTTTTAAGCATTATACTGTGAAGGAGATTAATATTATATTTAGTGCTTATCTGGTAGAGGTTTGAAATGTCACTGGCATTACAGCAGAATAAATAACTTCTTCGCCAAAATCCTTGCAATATTGGGCATTGCCAGAAATATAAGAAACATAAAAATGGCCATACTGGGTCAGACCAATGGTCCATCTAGCCCAGCATCCTGTCTGCTGACTGTGGACCAATATCAGATGACCCAGAGGAAGGGAACACAACAGGTAATCCTCACATGATCCCTCCCCTATCACCCACCTTCAGAGAAACAGAGGCTATGGCCACCATTCCTACCCATCCTGGCTAATAGCCATTGATGGACCTAACCTCCATGAATCTATCTAGCTCTTTTTTGAACCCTGTTAAAGTCCTAGCCTTCACCACATCCTCTGGCAAGGGGTTCCACAAGTTGACTGTACTCTGAGTGAAGAAAAACTTTATTTTGTTTGTTTCAAACCTGTTGCCTACTAATTTCATGTGTTGACCCCTAGGTCTTATATTGTGGGAATAAGTAAATAACTTTTCCTTATTCACTTTTTCCATAACAGTCATGATTTTATTAGACCTCTGTCATATTCCCCCCTTAGTCTCAATTTTTTGAGCAGTAACGTTAGTTCGAACCAACGGCTTTGGTTCAAACTACCGTGTCCCAGCACGTACTTCCTGGTTGAAATCAGCTATGAGTCTAACTAGCACGCTGGCAAGATCATGCTAATGAAGCGTGGGATATTTAAATCCCCTCTTCATTAGCAATTTCGAATGCCTGCATATGCATCCCTAGTTTGAACTAGGGTGGGAGTATAGACATACCCTAACATCCCATGACAACTTACTTTACTTAAGAGCCTTTGGTGAGGGACCTTATCAAAGGCTTTCTGGAAATCTAAGTACGCTATATCTACTGGATCTCCCTTGTCCACATGTTTGTTGACCCCCTCAAAGAACTCTAGCAGATTAGTAAGGCATGATTTCCCTTTAGAGTAACCATGTTAACTTTTCCCCAACAGAGGGGTTTTCCCTAGCATTGGTAATCCTCTTTCTGTGAGGAAGAAGCCTTTTTCCAAAAGAGCTTGTTCAGAAAAAGGCGTGTGTGGATGGGGGAGAGGGAGTTCTTTCAGAAGAAGAGGAAAAAGCACAGGTGCCCTGGTGGCCACTCCGTCCATAGGAATGGTGGCCATAGCCTCTGTTTCTCTGAAGGTGGGTGATAGGGGAGGGATCATGTGAGGATTACCTGTTGTGTTCCCTTCCTCTGGGTCATCTGATATTGGTCCACTGTCAGCAGACAGGATGCTGGGCTAGATGGACCATTGGTCTGACCCAGTATGGCCATTTTTATGTTTCTTATAAATGCAAGATAACGTCCATTCAGTTTGGACGCTATCTTTTGAAAAAGCCGATCACTTTATCGATGGGCTTCAGCTGTGTGGATGCACTCTTTCGGAAGAAGTTTTTTCAGAAGATCTTTTCCATAAAATCATCTTCCAAAAGAAGCCTGCAGTCTAGACATAGCCTATGTGTCTGACAATTTTATTCTTTCCTATAATTTCAACTAATTTGCCCGGTACTGACATTAGATTTACCAGTATGTAATTGCCAGGATCACCTCTAGAGCTCTTTTTAAATATTGGCATCACATTAGCTATTTTCCAGTCATTGGGTATGGAAGCTGATTTAAAGGATAGGTTACAAACCACAGTTAATAGTTCCGCAATTTCCCATTCGAGTTTTTTCAGAACTCTTGGGTGAATGCCATCTGGTCCTGGTGACTTGTTATTGTTAAGTTTATATGAGTAACCTATACCTCCATGATTTCTCCGTAAATCAAAAATCCCCAGGAGATGTTTCTTAGAGCTGTAGTAATAATTCAGATGACATAGAATTGTATATTGTATGTCTCTAAAGAATGAACATAAGATTAATTAGATTATATGATTATTCCCTAATCATTGTTTTCCAAAATAAGTACACCCACGTCCATTTCCCATGCCTCTTAAATAGAAATTTATATTTAGACAAAATGATTGGGATTAAAGAGTTGTAATAATCTTTGTTATTGGTATATTTGGCTCTTTGGGTTTTAGACCTTAATCTCTCCACCTACTACCTATGTAGACTTAGTAATTGCATTGAGCCAAGGGTATTTGTCTTATGCATGTTGCAAACTGCATAGGCTATGCATGCACAGATTGTATTCTCCTTGAAGCAAAGCTCTTCATTATATTGATTTCATAAAATAAAATAAACTCGATAGATTTGCAAAGATTTTCTGTTTCCTGAATCAGGCTGTGCCTGTGCATGCAGTTTGCTCTGTTTTTCAGTAGCATTTACAAAAACATTTACCAGAGGTGCACAGTGAGAAATTTCAGATTGCTCTACTACTGTCAAAATTAGAGGAGTTGAATAAAAATCAGTCTTATAATCAAAAGCAAGTCAGTCTAACTGACGGACAGACTACCATCTGTCCATAATACCAAAAGTCTGCACTAAGGTAGGAAATGATATTAGAGTATTACTTAAAATTGCTTTCTTTTTGAGAATCATTTATTCATAGTTAACTGACTTCATTATTTGGACAATCTATTGTATACACTGAATTCTTCTTTAAGTAACTTTACAGTTGGCAGCATCTATCACAAAATCCATTTTGATACAGCTTTCTGTGGTAATAAAAAATGTAAAAATAGTATCTGTAGGATTAAATTAGAACTTTTAATTTGCTATTATAAGCTTTTACTTTTTTTTTTTTTGTAGTCCTTTAACACATTGCACATGATGTACCATGAGGCCACAGCTTGTCATGTGACTGGAGACCTGGTGGAACTTTTGTCAATATTTCTTTCAGTCCTTAAGTCAACACGTCCATATCTTCAGAGAAAAGGTTTGGTAATGATTTTCTTTTATAGAGATTAAAAATGTGAGTTTGTTTGATCTAATTAATTTTCATGGACAAAAATTCCTTCAGTTTATCTCTTTGGTATGTAACCTTTGGGATTCTCTTTTTCTAGACAGTAGTAGTAAGTTAACGAAAATATTAAAGTGTTAAATTGTATCTAAAAAGAAATAGTATAGTTTTGGCAGCAGTTGACAAGTGTTAGATTTCCAGTTTGTTTAAGATCGTGTTTATAAAATTGATATAATTTAATTGTTCCATGTTACCATTTTCTGTCTTACTTCAGGAATTAAAAATTGTCAGAATGTGGGATGACAGATAATTGAACATGTTTTTGTATTTGCAGATGTGAAGCAAGCTCTAATCCAGTGGCAGGAGAGAATTGAATTTGCCCATAAGCTCTTAACGCTGCTAAATTCTTACAGTCCTTCAGAACTTAGAAATGCTTGCATTGGTAAGTTTATTAATACTACTGCAGTCAGGAAAAATACTTGTCATATAAATATGAGCTGATGATTAAAATTCAGAAACAGTTCTATATTGTGAATATTTATTGATGTTCTGTATGTTGTATTTGTTAATTTTTATATTAATATAATTATTGTTTGTTTTCTCAAGAATCTTACTAATCTTTATATATCAAGAGTAAAATAAATATTTAGGATTTTTAGGCATCGTTTTATATGGCCAGTTATTCATCTAACTGATTTCATTCTTGCTTATATTAGTGTAGATCAGGAATACTTCTATTGAAGTCAATAGATTTACTACAGTGTTAGTAAGGTCAGAATCAAGTTTCAGATTAGCATCCACAGGGTAACTCAATATTTAACATTAGTTGAAAAAGTCTTCTATTGTGAAGCACCAAAACCTTGTTACTCTAAGAACTTTCTGTGTCCATTTTTATACCCCATTTACAAAAAATACAAAAATAAAAGTAAAATGACATGTTAAATAGCTTTCAGAAGTACCGTGCTATGAAGTTTCTTTCTTCACGATTCCTGGTGGGGTGTTTAACTTGTAGGAATGGACGTCAAACCAAGAAAGTCTTGTCTCCTTGCATTAGCAGACTTCTTCTGAAAGGCTTTATCTGTTTTTTTAAGTAGAATCTGCACTTTTTCTTGTTTGTGAAGGCATAAACCACTATCCAAATTAAACCTTTTTTTAATGTAATGTGTATGCCTTTTCCCATTACTTTGAGTGCCCTTGTCATTGTCGTCCTGGCCGCTGCTGGTTGTCATTTTCCAGGCATCAGACCTGATATGGTAAAGAAGAAGCAAAGAGGGTAATTTTCTTGAGTTTCTACTTCCTACAATTTGACACCCCTCTTATTGGTTGATAAGGAAAAGTTGATATAACACTGATCAGGTGTTCTTCTATTGGAAGAGGTGAAGGGAACTTTGATTAATTCATGAGTTTTCACTTAGCTTTTGTTCACTATAAAGCCTGCCTCCACATTGTGCACTTTGGAGAAGTAATACCAAATAGACTAGGTTTGCAAATGCATGAGCCATAAGTTATGTGTACACTTAAGGAATAACTTTGTGTAATAGCAAAACCAACTTCTCATTTGTAGATGTCCTTAAGGAGCTTGTGCTTTTAAGCCCTCATGATTTCCTGCACACTCTGGTTCCATTTCTGCAGCACAACCATTGTACATACCACCACAGTAATATCCCAAGTAAGTATTTCTAATTGTATTTTACAAATGAATTTCACTACAGTTGACCTCTCTGTGCATTGAAGGCTGCTAATGTTAACCTTTTAATTCTTCATTATTTTGTCCTAATTTACACTAGTGTCTCTTGGACCTTATTTCCCATGTCGTGAAAATCTGAAATTAATAGGAGGGAAAAGTAATATCCGTCCTCCTCGTCCTGAACTCAACATGTGCCTCTTGCCTACAATGGTGGAAGCCAGCAAAGTATGTACATAGATGGCAATAAGGAAGCCTATTTTCCTGTCAGTTGCATTACATATGTGTTGTTGAAAAGAGAGCAGAATTTTAAGTGCTTTCAAAATGATGCCTTGTATGATGTGTTTACCCACTAATTTACTATATAGGTAATTTTTTAAAAACTGTGGGTTTAAATAATGTGGTGGTGCCTGAGCCCCTACAAATATTTTTATGTTGTACGAACCCACATTTTATAATTACAATTCTTTAGCACTAAGAGCCAGTTTTAAAAGACATCTCTAAAATTGCACCATCTTTCTTGCTCATATTTTTGCCTAGATATTTTTCATTTATGTGTTTTTGCATGAAATTATGTTTGCATGCATGAGTCTCAAATACTCAATTTCTAACTATCTTATATGTGTGTGCCAATGCTTGAGAATATAAATCCAAAAGTTTGTTGCAGAAATTATGTGTGTGAACTTTCGAATGCAAAAGTGCGGACACAGTTTTATTCATTGGGCTGATCTATGTCTTTGATAATTTGGTTCTGGAAGCTTATCTACGAAATAGACTTCAAAATAAATTTTGGCTGTTGCCAGCTGATATTAATCTGCCATTTAAAAACTGAAATGTTGCATTTTATGCATTTAAATGTTTAGACATTCATCTGCAAGTTAGCATATAATTTAATTCAAATCACATCCATTTGAGTTGAACTAAAATTCTCATAGTTATACAGCAGTATATTATTAAATGCATAGAACACTAACAGCTTTTAATAAGTTTATTAACTGAATTATTAGGTGTGTCATTTAGTTGCCCAGTTGCTTATAAGCTTAATCTATTTATAAATGAACTCTTCTTAAATCTTCAGGGTAAAGATGATGTTTATGATCGTATGCTTCTGGACTACTTTTTTTCGTACCATCAGTTCATCCATCTATTATGTCGAGTTGCAATCAACTGTGAAAAGTTTACCGAAACTTTAGTTAAGATGAGTAAGTATGGGAGTTAAACAGTAAATTCTACCTAAACAGACATCCTTAGCCTTTGAGATGTTTTGTAGCGGTAACTGAGATCACTATGCTTATTTTTTTAAAACAAAATTAGGTATACTGATAGACAATGGGATTTAGGCTTCAAAATGCCTAAATCCCTTTTGAAAATGAGATTTAGGTTCCTGAATCATTTATACATTGCAAAGCTGAGAACAGCAATGCATAAATACATTTAAAAATCTAAGTCTTAATCCTTAGCCTTGCTGAGACTGTTAACAAGTATGCCAACTAATGCTAACTCTGGTGGTTTCTGAAATGTGGACACCTCATATGGAAGTAATAGCTGAACTGAGACTACCAATTCATTTAATGTAAGCATCAAAAAGCCATCACAGGGCATCAACTCTGTCACTATAGACCTAGACCTGATTCTTGTTTGAATTAAGATCTGACCACATAACTTTTAGCTGAACTTGTACTCAGTGAAAATGGCTTTTACCTGCATACATGGCAGCTGTGTTTAAGCCCTGTCAGAAGGTAGTGCTCTTGGTGTTTCTCTTCTGGGATAGCTATTAATATTTTCGCAGAATACAATATGGTTAGGCAACAATGGTAGGTGTAGATACACAAACATGGTTATGGCATCAGAAATATTTCTGTGTAACTAGGTAAGAGCTGAGTCTCTGACTGATTACCAAATGGTGAAGGTAGCATGGATTGGCTTTTACAGGTAACGTTCATTAAGCCACTGAGTCACCTGCTAATTTTTTGTTCAAACCATGAACCAGATAATAAATGTGCTCATGCTGCCTTGTTTTTCAAAAAAATATTAAAACTGGTAAGTTATTCCAGCTAAAGAATTAAAAGAAAACGGTACTGAGATCCAAATACTATATTTTAGACTCAGCGGACAAAAATGTAGAGCTAAGTCCTGTTCTGTAGACTAACTACAATGAACCCATGGTTGATGCTAGACCATTGTAGTCATATGTAACCAATTTAGGATATAGTCCTCTGAATTTTTATTGTGCTCCAAACCCTTCAGGTAAATTTATAAATAAATTAATGGAGATTGCCTATCTCCTAGAACTGGAAGGGACCTTGAAAGGTCATCGAGTCCAGTCCCCTGCCTTCACAGTAGGACCAAGTACCATCCCTGACAAATATTTGCCCCAAATCCCTAAAATGGCCTTCGCAAGTATTGAACTCCCAACCCTGGGTTTAGCAGGCCAATGCTCAAGCCACTAAGCTATCCCTCCCCCAAAACATAAATATATAAATATATCCTACAGTTTAAGGTAGTTCCTTATATCATCAGTTTTTGTTTTTTCTTAAAATTTCAGGTGTCCTAGTTGCTTATGAAGGTTTACCACTTCATCTTGCATTGTTTCCCAAACTTTGGACTGAGCTATGCCAAACTCAGGTAAAATTTAAATGTGTTTGAGAGCTAAATGAACAAGAATATTTACATGATGTGACAACTGTAAATGCTTTAAAGCTAGTTACTTTTTAAATGCAATGCATAAGAGTAATTACTGTTAAGTACACTGATTAAGTTTAGTGGATGATGTTAATTTGTTCACAACTTTAACATTTTTAAAATTAAATGTTAACAAAATTACTAACCTCTTGTGTTTATATTGTGACTTTAACCTTGAAGCATCTTTTAAAAAAAGACTGAGATGCAGTCCCTTTATAGCCCTGATCCTGCAAATGCTTTTGTATGTTAATAACTCCACACATGTGGATAAATATTAGCAGGCTCAAAGCATATGATTGACTAATAGAGATTGCTTCACCCACCATTGAAATCTGGCCACTTCAGAACTGTAGTGCAGGGGTGGCCAACCCACGGCTCGCGAGCCGCGAGCGACTCTTCACCCCTGAAAGTGCGGCTCACGAAGCCTCCCCCGTGGCTCTTCACATTTTTTCTGCCATTGTTTCGGCTCTCTTCGTTTAATGGGTAGGCCAACCCTGCTGTAGGGTATCTAAGTGTCAAAGGGAAGACAGCAATATAGATTGTATTTGATCAATAACTGTAATCTGTAAATCTAGAATAAAAATTTTAATAGCATACAACCATTTCACCCAACAGCTTAGGATAGGGATTGAAAAACAACTACATTTTTTGTTGTTGTTTTCAAATGAAGTTTAAAAAAATGAAATCACCCTAGATTACTTTTCAAGTTGCAGGCTTGAAGAGATGCATATGACCAAGTTCTAAAATCATAAAAGTAAGCACTAATGGCACAATGGCTGCATATTTCCACTTGGGGTTGATGGCACCTTTGGCATTGAACTGCAAAATTTTTCTGGTGAGCTGTATCTTTTGGGGGCTGCTCGCTCCTCCTCCTCCCTTGCAAAAGATGCCAGAAATGTAAAAGAGGGCTGTTTTTTTTTTTTTTTTTGAAACCGCAAAAGGTGCAGTGAACTCAGATCATACCCAGTGTCCTCAGTGATTTTCATAACAGTTTTTCTTTTGATTTTTCCTTTTGAGGCTATTTTCTTTCTAGTTTCTTTCTAGCAATATCTTTCTTCAGTCCAAAAGATAAAGAAGAAACAGCATGGCAACACTGTAAGGCAAACCAGTATCTGTAAGGTGATACAGTAAAACTCCAATTTTCCGGCATCCAGTGGTCCGGCACTCCTGATAGTCTGGCACCAACTGGAACCCGGAAGTGCTCCAGCCAGCCGGACAGTTGGAGCGCCTGAGAGCCCCACGCGCGCTCATGGACCGGGAAAGGGAAGGGGAGGCGAGGAGAAGGGGATTATACCCCGTGACGGGTCTGACGGCGTGGCAAGGGGCAAACCCTCCGCCGTTTTGTAGGGAGGCAGGGGAAGCCCCACGCAGCCACCTGCTACAGGCCGCTCGTCAGTTTCAGCAGCAGCGGACTTGGGGAAGACAGGGGCAGAGCAGCTGGGGTACTGCCGGGTTGGTCCCACAGCGCCATTCAGGTGAGGGGCAGCGCTGCGGGACCAACCCAGCAGCACCCCAGCTGCTCTGCCCCTGTCTTCCCCAAGTCCGCTGCTGCTGATTGCAGCCCCAGCTAGTCTGTAGCAGGCGGCTGCGTGGGGCTTTCCCCACCTCCCTGCAAAACAGCGGAGGGTTCGCCCCTCGCCGCGCTGTTCCCCGCTGACACTGACACACACACACACCAGTGCTGTCCTGGCAGACCAGTCACAGCCCCCCGCCAGAGTACCTCCTGATACTCTGGCATATCCGATAATCCGGCATACCCTGGGTCCCAAGGTGCCGGATTATTGGAAGTCTACTGTATTGGCTTTATATTAATCCTTTAAATGCAACAAAAGCTTTGTTACATCACTTCTAAAGCAGCATTTAAAAATTGAAAATGCTACTATCCTGTTTTTATCTGTCTCAGATGTCAAATCATCCATGCAATAATGTCTGTATCTAAACTTAGGTTTACAGATAGGTTCCTTATCAGTATAAGAGATGATACTTTTTTTCCAGGCCTTTATATGTCCTCCATAGGATTGATTACAAGGGAATAATTTCTTTTGATGCTCCTTACACCTGGGACACTTACATCTCAGTTTATTTGAGATGCAGGAAGTAAAGAGAACACATGTTCATTACAAGATTCCTTTCTTGCTTACCTTACTACCAACAGGAGTATTTCCAGATGGAATGAAATGTTCATCTTATTTATAGCCTGTGGTCACCATTGGAAATGCAAGCTTATTCCTTATGGTTCTGTAGTTAAAAACGATTTGTTTAGTCTGTAAGACTTACTCCCATTGAACAAGAGCAGACACGCCTCTTCCAAAAGGACCAATGTCTTGCTTAGGTCTCCTTCTGCTATTATGTAAAGGGAAAGTCCCGATTAGGTCCATTATTTACCAAGTCCAACATTCCTTATCACCAGCTCTATGTCAAGGTCAGACAAAAGCCAGCATCACTTGCAAAATCCATTTCTCAACTGGAATCAGAACTTCAACTGCATGTTCTGTTGGTTCAGGAGATCTGTCTGCAGCTCAGATGAGATTAGTCAGTTTGTTACAATAGCTATAATAGCACCTCAAGCATCCTGTGTTTGATGTTATCATCACTTTCCAGATAATTAGTTCTTTGTGTTGAACTTAGATTAAGAATCTTTGCCTCATCCTGAATTGTCAAGTGTTTACACCATACCATGACTTCTAGGTTTTTGAACATTCCAAGACCCTTTTATGAATGGCAAAAGTTGTGATTTTATCTTCTACTTCATATGCTTGGGACAAGGGCCTCACTCACTTTGCTATAGCCTAGTTTATTGAAGGATTGGTCCATGTTTCAGTAGGGTTACTTACTGCTTTGCCATCATGACCACACTAAGGAAACTGGATTTCTTTATTGCTGTGCTGTGTGTGTGTTACAGTGGATGATGTTCATTTCTGGGTTATTCCCTTGTTTGTGTGTTTCTTCTGAGTTGGAATTGAAGTCTTCTTTCTCAAAGCTCTCTGGATCTCTGTCTGCTGTTTTTCATAACATTATCTGTACCACATATTGTACAGGAACAGCTCCTCATAATCATAGCTGCTTCCTGGACTTGTTAGATGAAAACCCAATGGCCACTAGTCTATAAACAGGAATCCCTATCAGTGTTCCCTCTAAGATTTTCCATCCATGAGCGGAGTGAGTTTTGTTATGTATGCCAGTATTGAGGTCGTGTAGTTGCGCAAGCTTATATATGTTATAGAAGAAAAAAATACTAAAACAAGGGATAATTAACAATGTACATTAATTTATTTATTTCATATGAAATCAAACAAAAAGAAATTAATACAGCAAAAATTTCAGTAGCCATTAGTATCTTACATGTATCTGTTCCTTTTGAAGCATAAAACAAAACTGTCCATCTTCTTGAGATAGCAAACAAAATATTTTGATTAGTATTCAATACATGAAATGAAATAGTTGTTTCACTTCATGCTTGAAATTACAGATTATGTTGTTTAATGGACTTTTTGTGCACATATTGCTCCCTATTATCTAGGAACCGGGGATTTTTAATGTTTCAGTTGTTTACATATCACAAATCTTTCATTCTTCAAAGCTGGTGTAATTTAGCTCCGTGGAAAGATTGAGGAATGCAATCCTTATGCATATTTCATTTGTTTATTTTTATTTCTGCTCCTAAGCATTGTCTGAATAACATGGGTAGACACCAAGATTCAGCATTCTAGCACCAAGTTAGCACAGTGTCATTTGATCTGGACTGCTCTTTCTAATGGGTGCGTCCTGCCTTGTACTCTGAACAGGGGCCAAGCAGCTGGAGTTACCTGAGGGAAAAAGGGAGGGGGCAAAGAGAGACAGAGCTGCTGGCTGCCAAGGCGCTTTTTTTTTTTTTTTTAAACAAACAACAAAACAGGGCTGCTGCTAGAGAGAGGGAAGGGGCTGGGAACACAAAGCTACTGGCTGCTGAGGTTTTTTTTTTTAAAGCAGCCCAGCAAAACATGTGGCTGCTGCCAGAGAGAGGGAAGGGAAGGGAAGGGGGCAGGGGACATAAAGCTGCCTGGCCAGCTGTCGAGACTTTTTTTTAAAGCAGTTTCTACTCTTCCCCCACCTCTATTCCCCCCCACCAGCTTACCTTTTCCCACTTCCAGATACAGCATCAGGAGCACTCTGGAAGAACAACCTCATTAGTGCAGGGCTTTAGGCACACTACTGTGTGGCTCTGTTAGCGAGGTGGGCAGGGCTTAAATTCTTCCTGCACAGCCTACAGAGAATTATGGTCCCGATTTTAATTAAAGTCAGACAAACATTTTTGGTATGAATTAACTAGGTTGGGAGTAGGGATGTAAGAGTGTAGTTGACTAAATGATGAATCAGTAAGTGGGATCTTATCATTTAATGCTAGTGACTACACGCATCTCTCTACCCCCCTCCCCCTCCACTGCGGCTCTATGTTTTTAGGGAACTGGGGAGCTGGCGTGCGAGGATGCGGGCTCAGTACTGGCTCGCTCTGGGTCCCAGCATAACATCCTGCTGCTGCTCTGTAGTCCCTTAATATTGCAGATCCTCAGTGGGGTTGATGCTGGGACCCAGTGTGAGCTGGGACTGAGCCAGCATCCTTGCGTGCCAGCTCCCTAGTCCCTTAATATTGCAGAGCTGCAGCAGAGTTGATGCTGGCACCTGGCACGAGCGATTTTACTGCTTTCCCTTATTAATTTATCACGTAGTTGATAAAAATATTGTTGACTACACGATTAACAAATTACCAACTTCTTAACATCCCTAATTGGGGAATAGCTAGTTATATATCATAATGCATAATGTTGCAGGCATTATTCCAGATGGTGCCTATTCTTTCAGTTGCCCTTAATAGATAATTATGGACAATGTTCTCACTAATGTCATAATTTCAATGTTAATTTCACAACATGATACTGCAAAGTATTTTTCTCTCTCTTTAGTCTGCCATGTCAAAGAACTGTGTTAAGCTCCTTTGTGAAGATCCAGTTTTTGCAGAGTATATTAAATGTATTCTAATGGATGAAAGGACCTTTCTTAATAACAATATTGTGTACACATTCTTGACACACTTTCTTCTAAAGGTATGTGGTATTTTAAGTGTTCGTATTCATGGAAGTGCAGGATTATACATCACGTTACCTTAGACTATTACTTTGCATAATTGGAGTTTCTTTATAGCTTTAAAATAAATGTGTTCTCTTCCAGGTCCAGGGGCAGGTGTTTTCTGAAGCAAACTGTGCCAATTTAATCAATACTCTGGTTTCAAATCTAATAAATCAATATCAAAGTCTAGAATCTGATTTCAGCAGCCAGCGAGTTGAAATTTCTAAAGCAAGTTCTACATTAAATGGGGTAAGACTTTCCAAAGCCATTGAAACAACAAAACCTTTTAAAAACACATTTACTTTCTATGGCAGAGCTTCAGCAGATTGCGTCCAGTGTGAGGATTTGCCTTAGAGAGTCGGCATAGTAACTGAGATTATATGCATGGGCAGGGTCCCCTTTGCCAGGTAATCAGAGCCAGCTGGAAATGTCCATAAGATTGAACCCTGCTCACCAGTTCCCTGCTAGATGTCTCTGCTCTGCAAAGGAGATCAGACATAGCTCTGGAATGCCATTCTGATTCTTTTTATAGGTCTTTTTTTAGGTCTCTGCTACCTACTTCTTGTTTCCCTTTGTGCTCTTTCTCTGCATCATTTGGGTGGACTTTTGTCACTCCAGTGAGTGACCTTTTCTGTGAATGGAGTCAAGATCCTGAGGGCCACCTGTGATTGTATGGAAAAAGAGTTATCCTCTCTGCCCTCCATCCAAACACCTCTGATTATTTCTTGCCCCAAAGATTGAAAAATATAGGAAAACATTAAAGATGCTTAGGGAGATCTTGTTCTGTTAATTCTCTTCGCATGTTTTGTCAACCAAAAAAGATGAATTCTCCAAATCTAGTTCCAAGAATTCCAGGGCTGTTCTTCCTAGACTGCTTCCTCCCAGTAAAACAAGTTCTTAAAGTGATTCCCCATGTCCATTCCATTGTGGGCGATTACATGTCTCATGTACAGTTGTCAGAGATTTTTCCTTAGCTGAACCTGTTAATGCAGTATGAATTCCCACTGGGTATCTCTACTATGGCATGTTGGTATGGAGGCAGCACTGCTTTCAACCTCTCTCATTTCCTTCCTACTGCCAGTCATGATTTGTTGTTGGAACTACAATCTTTCTTTTTTTCATATCTTTCCTCCTTTAGTCTTATAAAGTAATTCTGTAAATAATATTGTAAACTTATATCTATGATTGTCTTATTAATGTGGAGTTACGAGTACCTGGTTGGAAACTAGGATTGGTACCAAACTGGCTCCCATTCTCCTGGCTTCAAGGCCTGTCATTTATGTAATATGACCTTTCTCCCAGCTGCCTTCAGTGTTTGAGAGAGATGCATTTGAGTGACAAATATCACATTTGTTTAAAAATCATTCAAAAAAGAATAAAGCTGCTCAGGTATCTGCTCATGGATTCTGCACTTCGTCCACTCTCAGTATCCACCTGCTCAGAGCGGGTACCAGCATGTCCAAGCCGGTCAGGAGTGCTCCTCCTGTTCTTATGAACTCATAAGCCAGGTCTGTATTGCTGATGTCTAATAGGAGATTGTGTAATTCTCTGAAGGATTCAGTCCCAGATCTTCCAATAGGAAAGCACGAAGTATTCACCAGAACTGGTAAGGGTGCCCTAAAAAGTCATATGCCCAGGAACAGTCTGTGAGCCAGCAGGGACAGCTGACTTCAGAAACCAAGAAGGATCCACTTAGATCAATCTCCAAAGTATCAACATACCCCTCAGTTCTGCAAGCTTAAAACGCCTTCCCATGTTATTGATGTTTGAGGCAGCCAGGGAGTTATTCAGCTTGTTAGTACCAGCTTCTCCTGTGATTCAGGAGCCTCATAAGGAACTGATTTTGAAACCACATGCTTCTGTAGTCCAAACCCCAAATCCTCTGTGTAGAATTGCATCTAAAGGCAAGTCAGTGATAATTTCATTGGTTTCCCCCTTATCCAGGCTCTTAGCCCCACTCCCCAATACCGACATGTTTATCTCCCCCGTGATCCGTGGAAATGGATTTCTCATAGGACTCAGAAGTCAGACCCATTGTGTCCCAGTGTAAGCTTGCCCCACAGCTCCAGAGGAGTTGCTTGTCCATCCCAGCACTTGAGGAGTCAGTGGCCTTCTCAAAATTGTGTCCCACCTCCATACTGGTGGCCCTCCGAGACCTCTTGGGATTTCTGTTCACAATCCAGTATCTCTCCATTCCCTTTCTTCACCTCAGCACCCAGAAGATGAAGAGTATTTACAAGATCACCATCATCTGTTCCCCCAGTATCAAGATCAGGTCACAGAACTGGAGGAATCTCTTCAGCAGCCCTTAGCCGCCTCCTCTTTGTCACCTGATGAAACAGTAATTATTGACTCTCTCCTCTCTTGATGATTTTAGAGCTCATCTGGACTTATTGAGGTGGGTGGCTACAGCTGAGGATGTCCCAACACAAGAGGTACAAGAAACATCACCTGGGCTTGTGGGCATTTTAGCCTTGGCCTTATCCTCTTGGGTAGCACTCTTTATTAATGAGGCTATCCTGGAGCCTATCCAAAATTTATGACAAACCGATTTTTCCATGTCTCCCATGGCATAAAAGGTAGGGAAACTATTCTGTCCCTTCACAGAGATTCAGGAACTTTTAAAACCACATTCCTCCATGCTCCTTGGTGGTTGTGGCCACCATGAAGAGGTGTGAGGCAAGGACATCAAGCCTCTACTACTAAAGAAAAGGAAGTGAAGAATCTGGATTTGTTCAGCAGAAAACTTTAAACCACAGGAATTTGACAGCTCAGGGTTATGAACAAGCAAGCTTTGCTAGGGTGATATGATTCCAGCCTATAGGATAATATCCTGATATTCAAAAACAAGATTCCTGATTATACAATGCAGGAATTCTCTGCTTTGGTGCAGGAAAGCAGATTAGTGGCCATTATGTTGCAGCATTCATCTTGGCTGCAGACATCAAGCCTTCCCCAGGAGTTGCAACAAATAATTCAGTACCTGCCATTTGAAGACCCTTGGCTTTTTTATTAATAAAGTGAATAAGAGTCTGCATAATCTCAAGGGCGACCCTTAAGTCTCTGAGGACCTTTATATTAATAACAAAGAGAGAGCCATTCTTGCCATGTTTCCAGAACCTGTCCAAGAAAAGGGCAGGAGTCTTAAGAGGCTACCTTCTCTGCAGCTGCTAGTAGTTCTATGCTATCTGGTGTTTCAGAATAGTCATTTTCACCTGGTAGTTGATATCCATGTACCACTTCCCACAGTGCCATCTTTCCTGTCCCCTATTTTTGCCAGATACCTATCCCTCTTCCTGAGTACATAGACCCACATCATGATGGATCGGTGGATCTTAAACACAGTGGAACTGCAGTGCACCCTCCATGTCTCCCTTCCTTGTCTCTCTTCAGGGGCCACTCTCATGAGAGCATGATACTTCAAAAGGTCCAGTTTCCTCTTTTGAGGGCCATAGAGGAAGTTCCCATGTCGTTTAGAGACAAGGAATTTTATTCCCATAACTTCCTGTCTTGAAGGCAAAGGGTATGGCGAGGTCTCAAGCCTACGTTAGAGCTAAGGCAGTTTAATACCCGAAGAAGATGAAATTCTGCATGGTCACTCTGGCATCTGTTATCCTTTCCTTAGATGCCTGGGAATGGTATGCTGCTCTTAGCATAAAATGTATTTATTTTCATGTGGCTATTCACTACTAGTGCCTCCAAAAATTTCTCAGGTTCACACTCAACAAACTCCATTACCATTTTCACAAAATGCATGGCTGTAGTAGTGGCACTACTGTTTATTTCTTTACATGGATGATGACTAGCTGATAAGAGAGCTCAGCTTTTCTTCAGCATAGCCACTATTCAGTTTACTTGTCACATGCTGGAGCTACTGACCAGTACAAGGAAATCCATCCTGTCTCCTGTTCAAAGAACAGAATTCATTGAGGGCAGTCCTGGACTCTTTAAAGGCCAGAGCAGAGGTTCCAAGCAATGCAATTCATTTTCTAGATCTAAAGGTGCACCATGTCATCACAGTTAAGAACTGGCTTAAAGTTCTAGAATAAATGGCAGTATGCACCTGTGTGATACAGCTACAGACTAAATTTCAGGCATTTGCAGAGTTTGATGGCTTCTGTGTAGTAAATGTCTCATTGTCATATAGGTATGGTGGTTCAGGTACCCTTTGTGTCTTATCCTTTCTGAACAAATGATAAAACATACAAATGTGTGCAAGGGAGTTCTCCTTGCCCCTTCATACCCACCTTTCACACTAGTTACAAGTGCATTGGATCTGGATTGGTATCTTGTTATTTAATATTCCTTTCTTCTTAGGTAACTTCCATGCAGAAAAAACTCACCCATCTTTTGAATATTTAGTAATCAGTAAGATTCTGTTTCTCTTGGTCTAAGTGAAATTGCTTCTACACGAAAAAAAATCCTTTTTCTTTTAATTTTTCTTCATTTTTTATTTGTTCTTCATGGATTTAAAAAAAAAGCACCATCAAAAAAAGATCATACTTCAGCTGGTCTAGATACAGTATCAGTGACTTAATCAGAGATTTGCTAAAGTGTACATAACAGAATAATGTTTACAGGCCAACATCTACTGTGCTATCTTACAGTGTCTCCCCAGTGACAGGATCTTTTGGAGCCATACTTAATGAATGATCTAGAGCCATGGTGTCCAAAACACTAGCCACATGTGGCTATTTGACCGGTTTAGTGTGGCTAGTTGGCTTGAATAACGTGGCTAGTTCACTTCAGAACTGGTTGGACACCACTGGTCTTGAGACTAAAAGTAAGGCAACCTTTTCAGTATTCTCAACTTCCAGAGAATACTATTCACACAGGAAATCAGTGCACATGCAAACTCATCTATTCCCAGAGCTTAGATAACAGCTGTGGTATGAAATAGTTGGGGGCTGACAGATGTACTCTGGTAATTCTACATTTTGATAATTCTCCCTATTCATTACCACATCTGAAGAACAAAACGCTTCCAAAACTGTTGCTGAGTGTTTCATGGTTCGGTTGGCAACCATGTTACGTTTTATTCATTGTTCAGATCTAATGTAAAATACATTGAAATTAAGCATGAAGGGTATGTCTACACTACCCCGCTAGTTCGAACTAGCGGGGGTAATGTAGTCATCCGCAGTTGCAAATGAAGCCCGGGATTTGAATTTCCCGGGCTTCATTTGCATGAAACCGGCCAGCGCCATTTTTAAATGCCGGCTAGTTCGAACCCCGTGCCGCGCGGCTACACGCGGCACGGAGTAGCTAGTTCGGATTAGCCTCATCCGAACTAACTACTCCGTGCCGCGTGTAGCCGCGCAGCACGGGGTTCGAACTAGCCGGCATTTAAAAATGGCGCTGGCCGGCTTCATTTGCAACTGCGGATGACTACATTAACCCCGCTAGTTCGCACTAGCGGGGTAGTGTAGACATACCCTAAGAAATCCTAACCAAGAGGGTTAATTCTTTTGTGTACACTTAGTATTGCCAGCTCTTCTGCAATAGGTCTTTGTCTACATTAAAGACATTGCTAATACTAGTGGGAAAGTTTTGGGAAATTTCGATAGTGTAAACAAAGTTTAGGCATCTATGGTGTTAGAAGCAGAACAGGATTCAGAACATCTGGGAAGGTCTTTACTTAGTACACAGATCAACCTGTTTCAGTTGGGGGGAGGGGTGTGTGTGTGTGTGTGTGTGTGTGTGTGTGTGTGAGAGAGAGAGAAAATTTCACTAATCATGTTTGGTTATGATTTTTTAGGACCTTCGAGCACTTGCTTTGTTGCTTTCAGTGCACACCCCTAAGCAGCTGAATTCAGCCCTCATTCCAACTTTGCAAGAACTACTAAACAAATGCAGGGCATGTCAGCAACAGAGGAACTCATTACAAGAGCAAGAAGCCAAAGAAAGAAAAACTAAAGGTTTGCCTTTTGTAACTTGCTGTGATCTTCAACTCCCTCTCCTTTACCTTCCTTAGCCCTGCTGTTGCTATATCCTACCAGTTCTTCCTCTCTACAGTTCCAGCTCAGTCTCTACTACCAAGCAATGTTCCCTTTCAGATTTTCCATCCATGAGCGGAGCAGGTTTTGTCTTGTGCTCCAGCAGTGAGGTCACGTGCACTTGTTCCAATGTGTGCCACTGTGGCACCCACCAGTGGCTCTGCTCCCCAAGAAATTCTCCCACCCCGTCACCTTATGGGGAGAAGGGGAGACTTGTTCCCCCCACAGGGAATTCTGTTCCTGGGGCAGACTATGTGCAGGGCAGGGACTGCCCCAGGCTGCTTCTTGTGGGGCTGCTTTGAGTCTCCGCCTGGGGCAGAGGGAAGCTGCTGCCAGCGCCCAGGGCTTGCAGGGAGTGAGGTGCTGGGTGTGGAGCAGAGGGTTGGAGGGACAGGGGGCTCTGGAGGGTAAAAGGTGCGGGGGTGGTGGGGGAGAGAGGAAGAGAGATGCAGTGAGCCCCAGGAGCAGCCACATCACAGCCCGGCTCCAGCTTTGCGCAGCCACCACGTGGGAGCCCACCCAGGGAGCATTTGGGAATCCACTTTGTGACCCTGACCACAGCTCCAGCCCCGGCCACTGATGCAGTCCCACCATCACATGGCCCCGGCCACCAGAGCAGCCCCCGTCACCCAGTCCCTGCTGCCTGTCGTGCCACTCGTCTTCCAGCAGGAAAGTGAGTGTTGCTCTGCGGCTCTACAAAAGAGGTGGGCGGAGATTTTTGTTGTGCATGGCCATGCAGGGGTGCACCTTATAGGGAACTATGCTACCAGGATTCTGGTCTATAGCATGGCATTCTACCAGTGCAGCTGCAGCAACCACCTCCTGCTTGTGTACCCGAGTGTTGACTTGCACTCTCTAGATAACCCAAAATACTTCTCCTAAAATCGCTTTTCTTGCTCACTGCATCCCTGACCCTGCTTTCACATTTGCAACGTGAAATTAAACCCTTGTCCTCACTTTCTAAGCTCTGCATACTACTACTCTGTGCATAGCTTGTGCCATCCCGCACCACTCCCTCCTCCCTCTGCTTTGCTATGCCCTCTCCATTGTCTGTGGGTCCTTTTTTGTGTAGTTCTCCCCGGTCATCCCCATGTCTAAAATAACTTCCTAACTATAGAGCCTCCTCTCAACACCCACCTTCTTGGGCTCGCCTTCTAGTATTGATTCCACTCTTGTGCCATAAAAAGAAGAGGAAAAAGCACAATCCTTACTTTGACTAATTTGTATACTGAAATGAGACAAACTAACAGGAACGGACACAATATATATGTGACGCAATAAATAACCCCATAAGGTGATGGCATATGGATCTCACCTCTCAGTTTCCTTTGTGTGATATTTCTCACTTCCATCTTTCACTGTTGTCTTGTGTAAACTAGACTGTAAGCTTCTTGGGTAAGGAGCGCTGATTTTATTTGCTGTTCTGTGTCATCCAAATGAATAGTACTATACACGTCATAATATTATGCGTTGTCAAGCCAAACCTTGTGGGGGTGACATCCTGGTGGTATAGAAATCAAAAGGAATGTTACCATTGACCTCAGTGGGACAAGGTTCTCTTCCTTGGGCCAGAAAAATTACAAAGAGGAAACCTTTGTACAAATCTGAGCAGAGGCTGGTCAGTGAAATTTGTTTAAAGAAAGATTTTTGTTGTGGTTATCTGTATTTATTATTTGTGCTATGGTGGAGCCTAGGAGCCCTCCTCATGGACCAGCGCCCAATTACTCTAAGTGATGTACAAACACTGAACAAAAAGACAGTCCTTGCTGTAAAGAACTTACATTATTACTTATCACCAGAGCTTCGTATTTGCTGATTCCAACCCCTGGTGCAACACAATCTAAGGAGATAAAATGTTAAGCAGGCAATTACAGTTAATGAATCTCTCCAGTCTGATGAGCCTCTGAGGAGATCTCTAGTGAGTGCTGTTTGCCTACATACAAATGAGTTTATGATAGTGAAAAATATGAAATAAAAGACCTCAAGACTTGAATGTAAATATAAAACTAATCTGATAAATGTACTTCAGTGCAAACTCTGTTGGTGTTACAGATGATGAAGGAGCTACTCCTGTAAAAAGAAGACGGGTTAGCAGTGATGAGGAGCACACGGTCGACAGCTGCATCAGTGATATGAAAACTGAACCAAGGGAGGCATTGACTCCAACAAGCACTTCAGATAATGAGACAAGAGACTCTTCAATCATTGATCCTGGCACGGAGCAAGATCCTCCTTCCCCTGAAAATAGTTCTGTCAAAGAGTACAGAATGGAAGTTCCATCTTCCTTCTCAGAGGACATGTTAACTAACAGGTCACAACACCCAGAAGAGCAGTCAGGCAATGGTAAATTTGAAGATTGCAAGGAATTTAAAGATCTGCAGAGTTCCAAGGATCCCGGTCCCGTTGAGGATGACTCAGAGTTCCCCTCCACATCAATTTCAGCAGTTTTATCTGACCTAGCAGATCTAAGAAGCTGCGATGGTCAAGCCTTACCATCCCAGGACCCTGAAACTAGTTTATCAATTAGTTGTGGCCATTCCAGAGGACTTTTTAGTCACATGCAGCAGCATGACATTTTAGACATCCTGTGTAGGACCATTGAGTCTACGATTCATGTGGTCACAAGGATATCTGGCAAAGGAAACCAAGCTGCTTCTTGACATTAGATGGAGCATGTCTGCTTTTAAGTCTTTTTTTCAAAAAAATGCTGTTTGTATAAGTTTTGCTTATTTCTGTTTTGTGCTTCAGTTTGTCCAGTGCTCTCTGCTTGAATGGCAAGATAGATTTATATGCTTAATTCTTGGTCAGGCAGAACTCCAGATTAAAACATTTTTTGCATCTACCGTACTTTTCTTAAAGGGCAATCAGATAATGGATATGTTTTATGTAATTAAGAGTTCACTGTAGTGGCTTTCATTTAATATGGCTGTATGGAAGAACAGGGCCTCCTTGCCCTGTATGATGTAATTTAAACTTATGGCATTTTTACTGTGTATAATATGGTGTCCTCTGTGCCAGTTTTGTACCTTATAATAGAGGCAGATTGCCTCAGATCGCTGTGGTTCTTATTATCAAAATTAAGTTTACTTGTATACTAAACAACCACAAGAAATTTGATTCTGTAAAGAATCCTCTTTAGCTGTGGCCTGGCAGTATATATATGGTGCTTTATTTAACAGAATACCTGTGGAGGAAATAAAGCACACTTGATGTAAAATTAATTGTTTTATTTTTATTGACATGATCAATCGCTATTCTGTGCACTTCATTAAACTGATTGTGATGACTTTTCATTTGTTTACATATGTTGCTTCAGTCTTCAGATTTCTCACCAAAGACAGCTTGAGAAGTGGGAAACAGATGCAGAATAAGAAATGCTTCTCAGATACATTTGAAGCTGTGTATGTCTCTCTTCTTCCCCATTTGTTGTGTCTACTTTGCATTAACTTTGCAATTGTACAGTAAAGTAAAGTGCTCCCCACTAGTCAATGGGACATGAGCGCTTGCTCCAGTCTGGCTTCGTTTTCTCTCTGCCATTTTCAGTTCCTTTTTCTGATGCCCAGTGTCTCCCACAACTCTGATATAAATGGGCTATTCCTCTCTGCTGTAAGCTGCAGCACAGCCTGTGGTAACCACACCCCCTTTTCCTGGGTGACACAAGATCTTCTGTCTGTGGCAGCAGTTAAATGCTGGATTGCTTTGCACCCGTCCTTTTCCTCTAGAGTCATTATTTTGAGTGGTTAAATTTTGTGTTCAACTCCACTGCAGCACGTCCCTGCCACGCTTTTCTGCTCCCTTTCGGCACCAGGCAGACAGACAGACAGCTGACTCTAACTCTGCTCCAGCCCCACCTGGCCATCTGCATGGATGGGGTGGGGTCAGAAGCAGCTGGGCTGGAACAGTCCCTGCCTGTGGAGGGGGTGGCTCTAGCACAACCCCCATGGTTAAACAGTTAAATGTAGTGTTAGCATTATGTGTAACCATTTTACATCCGTGCCTCGCACCTGCAAATGGCCTGAGGTTAGAAGTATCGTCTATGCAAAACAAAACCCCACGCTACCAGCAACTTACAAAACTTCTCAAAGTGTGTTAGTGGCCTTCCAGGGAACATATTTAATCTCTCTCCTTGTGAGCATTACTGTCATTCATGTTTTCCATCGCTGCGTCTTTTGAGGTTATCATAAGATCCAAATGAGGACATCCGATTAAACCAAAATGGTGTAGCAGCATCTTCACCAGTGAAAGGGTCACACCTGTAGCAGAAGACTTCTTTCCAAAAGATCCTTCTGCCCCCAGACTATAAAAGTGATGAGACAACGAGGTGATCACTGTTCAAACCAGTTTTTCATACTTTTAAAAAGGAAAGCCTACTTCATGGTCAACAGGCAGCTCATTTTCCAGGGGTGTAATCCTTGCTTGGAGTGAGGTGTCTCTGATCCTGCCTTGGTTTGTGATGAACAATGGCACTCTGTGCTAATGTACTAATCATAGTATTCTCAGATTCATTGGCAAAAACCCTCGGGTATCCAAATTTCTCGGTGCAATCAGACTGGCAAGATTGATAGATGGATCTTCCCCAGGTGGGACCTACCACTGGTGCTGAAAGCTCTAACCCAGAGATGGGAAACTTACAGCACACAGGCTGGATCTATCTGGTCTGGCTTACCATAGCAAGTCTCCAAGCCTTGGCACCTCCCTCACCCACAGGACTGGAGCATGAGCGCAGCTCACCCTGCTGCCAGAGGACATCCCGAGCTTGCTGGGAGCTCAGTCAGTGCATTTTGCTTTGCTTTGGTCTGGGGTTTTTTTGTTTGAGTATATAGGGTGCTTTTGGGGATCCAGTGAGTTGGGGTGGGGTGAGGTGTTTTTGTTTCCTTTTGTTTGATTTTTGCTTCTCACTTATGTTTGGCTCCTGACTGATTTTTCTCTGGGTCAGTGGCCTCTGCCCCCCCAAAAAAGGTTGCCCACCCTTGCTCTAGCCACCCACTCCACTGAGATTCTGACTTCATTCTGCCCATGGCTGCGGCACACCCCAAATGTTGGAATAGCACTTAAGACTTACATCAAGCATACAGGTCACAAGGAGTTGGGCTCTCTGTTCCCCTTCATCTTGCAATGCCAAGGGTTTGAATGGCCATGCTGTCCCTTATTGGCGCAGACTGTATTGTTAAGGCATACATGGCAACCTTGTGAGCTGAAAGAGCATGAGCTTCCACCCCAGAAATCTGCATATTCACCGGCTTACACATCTGACAGGCACTATAAGGTGGACTTGCTGCAAAAGCCTCATTTAAAAGGAAGATGGTGGTGGTGTTTCACAATAACCTTGCAATTTGAGCAAATCAAAAGAGCAGTTCTTTTCTATTTGTTTCTTTTCTATCCCTCTAGGCTCCTGTGTACTGCTCACTGAATATGCAGATCTCTGGGGTGAAAGCTCATGATCTTTCAGAAAGACCCTAGGCTGCAGACTAGAAAAGTTCTTACCAGAGCTTTTCCTTTCTACTAGCAGCATCTGCCACAATTCTTCCCTCTCTGCGTAGCTTCACAGCCTGGGTCAGGAATTTATTTGTATGGTGGCTGCACAGGTAGTGATTTACTGTACATAGCTGATTAGTTAGCACTGAAGTTATTGTTACTAATTATTGCCTAAGAGTTTTTACAGTTTTGGAATGATCTGGCAGCAAGCAAGAAAGGAGTATGACTAGCACAGCTATCAAAAAGGAAATTATCAGGTAAGAAATGTAAGAAACTTTCCATTTTTCTGTCTGTGCCTCCTTTGAGGTCTGTTCCCATCTCACAGTTTTACTTTATTCTTGCAACTCATCCTTTTAAATTGGCTATAATTTCTCTCTCTCTCGTCATACTGCCTTATCCTGGGTAATTTCAATTTCCACGTTAATCCATCTCCTGGTTCCTTAGTTACTCCAATTTAACTGGCCCAGGCTCCATTTTTAGACTGACTCTGCTAGTCATCATTTCATTTGCTTTCCTGGCTTGGGTCTTGTAAAGAGTGTTGTTTTTCTGACCCCTCTCCCCGTGAATTCCCCTTTTCTGACCACAAGTTACTGTCCAACATCACTCTCTTCCCCCGTTCTATCTCATGGGCTTGGATCCACAAAAGGACTTAGGCTTTGAGAGATGCTGCATTGCAATGCCAAATGTTTAGAGCCCTAGAAAACTCCCAACACTGCTCTAAAGTCAGAATTAAGTGCCTAGACCGATTGCCTGGGGAGAGAGAGGAGTCTCAGGATGGGATTCACAAAAGCCAGCATGCTAAGCGGAGAGCTGCCTCAGCTAGTTGACTGGAGACACTGAGAATTGTCTTTTTACTTCCCTCCTCTAAAAGCCAGCATGCTAAGCGGAGAGCTGCCTCAGCTAGTTGACTGGAGACACTGAGAATTGTCTTTTTACTGCCCTCCTCTTTCACTTGCCTAAATCTGGGCTGCAGGGAAATGCCTGTCTGCTAGTGATCCACAAATAGCAACCCCTATTCCTGGAGTCTGTGGCTTAGGTGCTAAATAGTTTCTTGTGTGACTGGGTTGTGTGCCCCTCCCTCTTTCCACACAAACCAGGAGGAAGCGGGGGCAGTGGTAGTTTTCTTGAGACTGAGTGAGCCTTGTTCCTCACAAAACAGCAGGTGGTGGTGCAGGCCATGCCCGCCTAGACTTTTAGCCCAGTGCTTAGAGCACTCATCTAGGGGAGGGAGCAAGTTCATTTTTCCTTGCTGCCCTGTCAGGGAGAATAGCTTTAAACAGGAGCCTCCCACCTCTCAGGAGAGTGCTCTAACCACGGAGCTATGGGATAGTCTGATGAGGAGCTCCCTCAATCGGTCATGTGGAGCTCCCTCAGTCAGTTGCTGAAGCTGTTCCATTGTGGGTACTTAGTCATGAGGCCAGAAAGGAAGAATGGGAATGACTGCAGCTTGTTGGTTTGGGCACCCATGGGGTGGAAGACCCTCTGTATGTAACTGAGCAGTATGCTATATCCTTAAATAACTCTTTGTTCTTTCTGTGTTCATATCCTCTGAACTGCTTCCATCCATAGTGCTGTACCCTCATTGGTGTCTGCCTGTGGTACCCCATTACCCTACACAGCAGCATTCCTCAACCTTTTTGTGCTGGCAACCCCCTAGACTAAAATTTCTGACACCCTCCCCCGTACTAGGACTTTGAATAATTGCCACCCTGTACCTTAAATATTTAGCAAATTACGAATAATACTGGTCCACCAGCATAAATAAACTCAACATTTCAAACCTATGCCCATAGATTGAGTAATTTCAGTTCCTAGTAGAGATTTAAAATCCTGTTTAATCAGTTAACCAATTAAACACCAAGTTTAATGCGTTAATTGATTAAACAGGATCATAGGCTGGGGACTATTCCAGCCCAGCTGGAGCAGCCAGCTCTGCCATCTGCCTCCCTCCTGGCCTGCCAGTTAAGGGTGATGCTTACTGGGTAACTCTTTACCTATTGACACCCCTATCCTTTTGTATGTTAGCAGAGAGATTTCTTACCTCCCAAGAAAGGCTATGTCATTAACGGTAGCGAGCTTCACGTAACCTTGTGAGCTCACTGCTGTTTGCTGTCCAGACACTGTTGTTATTTGCAGCAAGCAAATGTGTATGTGCTTTCTTTAATAAGGTCATCTTGTGCAATGGAGGATTTTTTTTTTGAGAGCTCAACCCAAGTACTTTATAGTTAAAGGTGACGTGCAGTAAATATGACTGCTGGAATTTAACTATCAGCATGATCTGAATTCTTTTTTGGTCCATGCATCAAATATTAACAAGGCCCTAACCCAAACATTACAGAAAAGATGCCTGTGCTTACTGTGCCTCCCCCATTTCCTTCAGTGGAATTCTGACTAAATTCAAGTCTAAATTCTAATGGCAGATTCTTTTCTGCTGGTGATGCATGAGCCAGGAGGATCACAGCTTGGCTCTTGGATTCTAGCTTCAGTTGGCAGTAAGTTGGAACTTACTGGAACTATCATAGATGTACACTGAGCAAATCTGCTCCATAGATCAGTGACAGAGTATTATTTTGGCTAGGGAAGAGCCATTCTTTTGGGCAGAACTCTATGTAGGAGAAAATAACTTTCAGGAAGACCAAAGCTTCCTTGTCCTCTATGTAATTTAAACTTACATGCAATGAAAATATCATATGGTGTCCAGTACAAGCTTGTACTTTACAATGTCTGCATAGTTTTAGTCTTGTCACAAAACCGCGTGCAAGGAAACTTTATTTTCTAAAGAATCGTTTAAGCTTGGGCAGAGAGATGCACTGCTGGTTAGAAGCGTGTGGTGAACAAGATCCATTAGAGAGGAAATAAAGCGCACTCATTGTAAAAATGTTCTTTATTAACATGACTGCTATTCTGTGCATTCAATTAACACATGAAAACAAGTGCAGAGTAATAACACTCCCCAAAAATGCAGTTGGAGTCACCTCTGTCGCTTTCATGATTTTTCTTAGCCAATTTTGTCTTAAATTCAGTATTGCACAGAAGTCATTTTTATTCAATTTGGTTACAAAATTACTGAATACATTCAATAATTCTGCCTCAGTCTTTCTAACTTTCAGATAAATCATTGGTATATTCAATATTAACCCCTCGTGGTGTATCCATGTCAAAAGGTTGGGGTTTTATTTGCTTTGCTTTCATTACATTTCCATGGCTGGAATGGAATGACAGAGAGGATCTAAGTTAAAAATATGTTTACAAAAGAAAGCGGTATTAGTATGACTTGGTTTTTAAATAAATGTGGAAATTGTTGAAATACAAAATTAAGTTACTCACTTCTAGCCTCACTGACATCTCTGCCAGAGCAGCAACTCTCATCACAACTTTCATTCCATTAAGAGAGAATGAAAGGAAAACAGACTAAATTAATGGTATCACTAGAGCACGGTGTTCAAGGGTTGTTGGTCTAATTTTGTTAACCCTTGGACCTATGGTAAAGCCTTCTATAGAGACGACTGAGTCTTTCCAATGTGTAGTAGCTTTGCTGTCTGAAAACATAAGTCTGTGTGGAGTTTATCCATTGTTTGAAATTAAGTGCTTTAGTTTAAGTGAATTTCAACTCAGAATGGATTCTTACTGAATAATGCACACTTTACTTCTTTACTAAGTAGTCCTAGTTCAGGTCCAAGTTAGGGCAGCTAGTGTCTACAGGACATCCCTATGTGATGTAAAACCATGAGTTCTATAGCAGCTGAGTTTCACTCAGTTTCCACATTTAAGTTATAGATAAAACACTGACCAGTTCTCAAACTGAAGGTGTCTAAATACATAATGACACTGTTGGAAAAGGCCATCTCATTCACTAAAGATCCATCAATAGCACTTACAGTATCACAGCACTGGATCTTTTCATCCCCCAAATTATTTTCTTAAAGCTGGGGAGAGGGACAAAAAAGGGAGACAATCTTTTATTTTTATAGTGTGTGTGTGTGCATACACACGAAGTAATGCACTAATAAAACTAGGCACACTACTATTATTATTCAGCATTTACTTTGGTCTGCTGCAGTAAAACATGTATTTCTTCAAAATGCTGCTTTTGCCAACACTGTCTTGTACTGTCTTCATTACAGGCAGGAACTCCTTTGCATTCTAACTGTAATTCAGTTTGAGTTGCCTGATCCTTGAAATTCAAAGCAATTGTTGCATAATGTTCTGGAAGAAGAGAAGGTACAATATTTAGTAATAGGTTTGATAAACTTTGTTTTAATACCTGATAAAAGTTTGCTTTACATCTAAAAAGTCAATCTTTCATTAACTCAGCTATTGCATCTAGTACATAAATGTAAAAGCAACGAGGAGTCCTGTGGCATCTTATAGACAAACAGATTTATTGGAGCATAAGTTTTCATCACATGCATCTGATGAAGTGGGTCTTTGCTCCAATAAATCTGTTACTTCAGTGAGACTAAGGCGTTTGTTCTGTCTTTGTAAGCACAGTATTTATGTATCAGAGGGGTAGCTATGTTAGTCTGAATCTGCAAAAGCGACGAGGAGTCCTGTGGCACCTTATAGACTAACAGGCATTATATTGTGCTTTCTCAAACCGAAATTCCTTTGAAAATCCTGCGCAGAAGAAAAGACATACCATAAGGCCAGTTCCTGCATCTCCATTTCATGATAATCCTTTGATTGGGTAACTATAAGAAAAATAGATGTACAAATATCATTACAAAACTAACAATCCTTTTTCTGCCTTTAAGAATTTCATCTGAGGGCTCACCCAAATCTCCTTCCAAGAGAATCCTAGCAGATGCCAGCAAAGAATTGTCTAATGAGAGAACTTTGTACATCATAAAACAGCGTTCTGTCAAATTCATTTTTTTCTATGAAAAAGCAGGTTTGGTAAAAACTTTCTTCCCCCCAAATTCTGAAATTTTAGGGCTATTTCCCTTTCAATTTCTGATGTCTCCAACTGGCACAAGTTAGGAAAACAATACATGTGAGGGGAAAACACTTGAGAATCCCAATTTTTATCCAGCTCTAATCATAGAACACACTTCCCTGTCTCCTAGCAGTGGAGAAAGGTCAGTTGCTCATGCTTATAGCTACAGCTCTAATCAACAGCCTTTTATATTATGGACCTTAGCATAGGTGACTGGGATTAGTACAGTGGTTTTTGCATTTTCCTCTGAGAAATGGCGCAAAAAGGGGGAGGCTAACTGATCAGCCACCTCTAGAGCCCTCTATTGTGCAACCCATCTTGCTGAATGTACATTTGAGGCCCACTGGAAGATATAGTGGTGAGATGGTGTGGGCTGTGGTACCATCTGTAAGATAACATTCAGCTCTAGATCATCAGTTTTAGATAGTTTGGTGTCTCCGCAAATAGCTGAAATTGGGAAATGGAAGCAAACTGGCAGAGTGTTAATCCAGAACATTGATGTGACTGGTTTAGAGCAGTGGTGCAGTCTCCTATTCAGTATATTTGCCCAGCCTTCAAAGCAGTTTACAAAAAGGGATATTTTCATATTCATAACTGCCGCTAGAGGCCAGGTAGGATCAGTCATCAGTATCTATTCCATTTGTGTTAACATAACCACTGTAACTATTTTTCTATGTGGCACTTGCCAGTTATTTGGTTGTTGACTGAGATTTTGCCTGCAGAGGTTCTTTGTTATGGTCATTAAAATCTGTGGAGTCTTTTTTTATTTTTTATAGCCAGTCCTGCCAGTATCAAATGAATTATTTTATCAGTGTGTTTCCAAGTGTCAACATCTTTACTGTAAGTGGAACCACAGCCTTCTCAGCTCCATTTGGGGGAAAGGTGATCTCATGCTTTAAGAAATCTGAGGACTTCCTGAAAGATGAAATACCTCGAACTAAATCCTCCGGAGTCTGCAGTAATTCCCCCCTCCAAAAAAAAAAAGGTTTACTAAACTACTGAGGGTTTGATTTAAGTAACTGAAATTGAAAATCCCTGAATGATTAAAGAGCTTCAAGACAACGTTCTAAAAGAATCAGGACAGAGCATTTTCTCTAGGTCTTGCTTTTGTTTATGAAACAACTTTTGACATGTAAAAGGAACCTCTATATGTTTCATGGGTTGCAGCTAGGGATGTAAGAGTAGTCGATCAGTTAAGCCTAAGCTTGTTGGGTAGTCGAGTCAACTACTTGCATTTCTCCTCCACTGCTGTCTCTATCAGAGGCAGCAAGTGGGGAAAGCAGGAGCTGGTGCTGGGGGGAGCTGGCTTAAAAGCTGGTTCTGCCCAGCCCCATCTCTGCGGTGCGGGGGAGGGAGGGAAGGGGAGACAGAGGCACAGTGCAGGACCCAGTGTGAGCCGAGACTGAAGCAGGCCTGGCTTGCTCCAGGTCCGGACTGCTTCACTCCCAGCTTAGGCACAGCTCGTGCTGGGTCCTGCACTTCATCTTTGTCTTTTAAATGTAGTAAGAGCTGCCCAGCTTACTACATTTAAAAGGTTGAGCTGCAGTGGTCCAGACCCAGCTCACACCAGGTCCCAGACCTACCCCCACTGCGCTCTGCAGTTTAAATGTAGTAGGAGCTGGGCTCCTCTGATATGTAAACTCAATCCCCAACCTTCCTACTAAGGAAAAACTAAGGCAAACATATTCTTCCTTGTCCAGTGATTCCAACCCACATGATGGATAATCTGGGCCAAACAAGGAGAAAGTTGGGAATTGATGTGATTTTGTTTTTTTATAAACTAAATCTGCATTAGAGAAACTAAAGCAAGCTTACACTTTACTCAGTATTGCCCCCTGTATAATAGTAATTTCAGCCCCTTCTTAACCGAAAAACAAGGTTTCAACTTACCAGTTCTACATATTCTCCAGTAACATATCCATCAAACATCTGAAGTTTCCCTCCTCTTTTGGCTTCGATCACAGCACGACTTTTAGAAAATTTCTGCACCAACTAAAAAACAAAAAGCAACTGTGCACAGTGGAAGAATTAGAACATCTATTCAATACCTCCCCTTCTGAAATTTCTGGATAGCTTATTGAAACCATGTATCCTTCCAGGCTACTGGAATGAACTAAAAGGACTACTGGAGACTCCCTAATGCCAGTGTTTCTGGGATTAATGGCTAGACCTATAAAATCCATATAAAGTCCTTGAACTTTAAAGTGCTCCAGTCAAATCAACATATCATAATGTGACTAAGTTATCAAGTGCTGAGAAACATGCTTGGTAGGCAGAAGGAGCAATCAATAAGGGTATATGGAAGCAGCCATTAGGTGAAACAGAAGTAGAGAGTTCAAAGCAAGTGATGGGGAAGGAAAGTGGCTGTAACTATATCTGGATTAGAAAACAGGCAGTCTGATCTTCCTCCTGCCCAGAGGAGTTGGCAACAGCATTATGGGCACAGGAAGCAGGATTAATTGGAAAGTCATGAGATGTTATATTCTCTCTCCCATATCAGAAGATTAGTCCGTGATCATCCTGAGAATTACAATTTTTGGAAGCATTTGTATTCCAGTTTTAAATCCTCTGATATTGCAGGGCTCCTCAGGACTGATGCAATCCTAAACTTGCTATATGAATACTTCTCCACAGAAACCCTTGTAAGAGTGTGTCATTAATATTCACACCTTGGAGGTAGAGGTAATCATATCCATGCACATAGCAGCTAATGGAATCTAGCTGTAAATGGGGATAAGAATGCTTAACATTTGTAGAGAACTTTAACATCTTTGGATTACAAATTAAGGATGTTAAATTGCGTTTAATCAGCTAATCAAGTCGATGGAAATTCCATCAACTACTAGATTAGTCAATAAGGGAGAAACTACATAACTGCAGCAGGGTTAGTTCTTACTACATTTAACTACATTTAAAAGACAGAGGCGCAGCAGGGAACGGGGTGTGGCTCATGTCAAGTTCCAGACAGTAAGGCCCACCAGGCTCTTAGTACATTTATAAAGCAGATGCTCAGCAAAGAACTAGGTGTGAGCCAGGACTCAGCTGTCCTGGATCACTCCTGCTCCCCCATTGCACCTCTGCCCCCGTGGAGATGGTGCTGGGGAAACCGACTTTTAAGCCGACTCCCCCCAGCACTGGCTCTTGCTTCCCCCCTTGCTTCCTCTATAGTTGCCTAAATGCCTATTACAAATGCTTACATAATGGATTACTATAATAATACTTAGTAATAATAAATATTTTAAGATGAGTGTAACGGAAACAGAACTACATCTCACTTGCATACCCATGACATGCATCATAAGACTTGCCAATTCTCTATTAATGTGGGTTTTAAATCCACAGTGAACCAGAACAATAACAAAATACCAAAGAAGCTGTTGTGGGTAGATAAACAGTGGACCAGCATCACCTTCCAAAAATGCTCAGAAAGAAAAGAACAAGACTGCCAAATGGTTACTTTGGAAAGATCTGAAAGTAGGTGATCAATACCTCACAGGAAATGACATCAAAAGCTTGCTGACAGGGCTAAAAAAAACTGAGCAGACCCTTCTTTTGAGGATTGCTAGCTGGCCAGCTTCACACCAATACACAAACAAAATAGCTCAATAAAATAGATGCATATATAAAAATCTCAATTTTGCTCACCACTTTACACATCATTGTAGGTCTTTATCATCAAACAGCACAAATGGTACTAGTTAGAATTACAGGTATAATCCTACATTACGGTACTAGAGATGAAGTTACTAGCAATAAGAAGTAGCTGATTGTATTTCAGTCCTTGTTTGACCAGATTTCCCAATATTGTACAAATGGGAGTATGTGAGTGAGTTGCACTGAGCACTATGAAATAGGAATGTGAATGGGTTACTGGTAAACACCGGTGCCCCAGAGCCACCCACCATAGGTGGAGATTTGCTCCAGCTCCGCATGGGGCCAGAAGTGCCAGCGGCCTCAGGAACTGTGTAACCAATAGAAATTGTATCTGTTACGTGATTTTTTTTTCATTTCTCACATCCCTACTATGAAAGTTACATATAATATTTCTCATTTCTGATTATAATTAAATTCTTCATATAAAATAACTATTCTTTCTGGTACACCAATCACTGTAGTTATATTACTAAAAATAGGTGGTCCCATGCAATACAAAAGGCTTCTTACTTCTTTAGTTGTAAAGATGCTATAAAGCTCCTCTGCCGGAGAGTCAAACATGTCTTTCAGGAGTATTTTTACTGTTGGAATTCTTACACCAATTGTATCCAAAGAAACTGGTAAGACAGAATCCTGTAAAGCAAACTCAGGTTAAATTGCCATTGTATATGAATAGCAAAGCACAAATCTATTCCACGCCAAAACTCTATATTAGAGTTAGGGTTGCGAACTCAACAAAACAAAGAAGTTAGGGAATTCCAAGTTTCAGGTTGCTAATGCAAATGTAAATCTACTGGTACATATGCATTAATTACATGATACCATACGGGTTAGACTGAGTGAGCACCACCGTAAAGCACTAGGAAAATCTGGCAACCCTAACATGTTTTGGGTGACACAATGTGGCTTGAATTAATCAGAGGAAATGAGGGAAGCAGACAAATTTTAGCCTCTCCCTCACTGTTACCGTTAGAACATTGGAAGTGAATAACTGGGCACCTTCGATCTCCCTTTCACTATCTGAAGAACATGGCCCAGTAATGACTATTTCCACATAACCTGAGCACTACAGACACTGATCATAGCGATGAACTTGCACAATATGTTAGTGAATTAAACTGCTTCCCAACTCAAAGGTGTTCTTAAAAGTGCACCAAAAACTGTTTGATTAACACTGCACATCTGTTATGGGATACATCTTAAGTTCTTTGTTCTATGATGACAGAGTTTGGGCCCAATAACATCCATCTCTCTCATTGAATCTTACATAACTCCTAAAGCCAGCATACCTGCATGTTTTTCTCACTTGATTTTTTTTTAACTGCCAGTTCCTGACCAGCTGAGGTTTTGGTTGGTAGGATCATTCCCAGAGTAAACTCTGTAAATAAAAGAAGTAAAAAAATACTGTCCAAAAGGAGGCCTACCTGTACATTAAGCTAGGCCCCTCACTCTACAGATAAGCCCTTCCCCTTCTGCTCAGAATCATATTTGCTTGGGTAAAGATCTGAAAACCAAAACAGACTGATTTCTACTAAAATCTAGCTTTTTCAGTTTTCTGTTTTTTCATCAAAATCAAAAGAGTTCTGTCCACTTATGCCTCGAACATTCCCTGAAATCTTAGAATTGACTGAATACTGTTTTCAGAAGGTATCAAATTACAGACACAGATAAATGCCACTGAGGGCATGTCTAGACACTGTTTTAATTTCAAAAGAGGATATGAAAATTCTGCGGAATTTGCATATCATTTTCTGATCACATTTTTGAAAGAGGATCTTTCAAAAGTGAAAGTATAGTCTGGCTGCATTTTTTTCCGGCAAAAAAACCCTTTTTCGAAAAACCCGCTCTTTCTTAAAAAAAAAAAAAAAGGAGGTTTACGCGGTTTTTCAAAAAACGTGTCCAGACTACTTTCGCTTTCGAAAGATCCTCTTTCAAAAACGCAATTGGAAGACATGCAAATTCCCGTGGAATTTGCATATCCTCTTTCAAAATTAAAACGTAGTCTAGATGTGTCCTGAGTTGAGTGCATGGCTTTACTTTGCTCAGCCAATTAATTTGTAAGATCAGGGCAAGGACTGTATCTCTGTCTTTGTATACCACCTATGACAATATGGTTTTGGTCCTGATTAGTACCGCTGGGCATTACTGCAAAATACACATTTTAAAAAACCCCAAACCTTTGAATATCCTGAATTTGGTGAAAATAAACCTTATTTATAATATTGCATTAAAATGAAGACATTTGGTTTTGTTGTTAAAGTAATATGAAAACCACTTCTACCAACTCAGATTAAAATTGATCTATTTATTTAAGAAGCGAGATTGCCCAAAATGGGGCCCATATAATCACAGTCTGAAGAAATTATCTTAATGTACCTGTTTTAAGAGCTTTCAGATAATCTCTGAGAGCCTGCCTAACTTTTGAAGTTCCTTCTGTTCGCATAAAATCCTTTAGCATGTCTCCATCTCCTTCCTTTTTGCTTACACTTATCTACAAATAAACATACAAATGTATAAGATGCTTTGTACATTTTGATTTTTGGGGAACAAAAGTGCTGGAAAATGCTATCTTTGATTTATTCAGAGGACAGGTGCAGAATAGATATTCAAGTGAAAACTTATCACACCTATAAGCTAAAACAGGATATATTTTATTTTATTTTTCTAAAGGAAACAAGCAATTTTGTTTCCATAATAACAGAAGAACTAGTCAGGAGTTTAGATAGGTTGCACCCCCTTCCAGGAGGATTTAGAAACCATAGTATCAACTACATCATTAGGCTAGCACCAAAGTAAAGGCCTTAAGATTTAAAAAAATGAGGCTTAACTCTTATCTCAAACACGTGGGTCTGTATTGCCATGAACTTCATCTAACATCAGATACTGCTCATACTTAGAAGCTAATTTTGGAAGATATGTAATCATGTATCAGAAATGAGACTTTTTGTTTCTTGACATTTTATCTTTAGAATACTACAGAAAAGTTAACCACATGTTATTGTCCCAGGTATTCACAGAGTAAGCTTTTTTTTAAAAAAAAGTCATTTGTAACTATTACTCAGTTAACAGAAAATTTAATGGCAACCTAATGTATTGATTTTATGTAACAATTCCTGCCCTATTCAGCTAAGTTAGTATTTATTACCTACCTCGGTATCATCCACCTCATTTTCTTCTGACAGGTTAGGAATTTCAACAGATCCCTCATGTTTCTCACCAGATTCTTTCATTGTACCTGCATTAACAGAATGAATTCTTAAATGTAGTAACTAAAGATCTGTATCTTCCATAGTAGCAGTTTTACCCTTGTATATGCTTTCTGCAGAACTGCTATTTAAAATGATGGGTTTCTTACTTTGTAGTAACTTGAGTTTTCAAAGATGTGTTGTCCCTGCTTGTACTGCATTCATGTTTCACATTCCCAGAATCAGATTTTTCCCTAGCAGTGTCCATCTGATCCACATACTCTTCATGCTCTGCACCAAAGGAACAAAGAGGAATAACCACATAGTGCACTATGGGAGTAATTCACTGATACTGTCTCTTTAAGGACACAGATGCGTAGAGTCTTATGGCACAACAGATTGCAGGAGGTGATGGCTGGGAAGCTCAAGGTCTTAAGTAGGTGCCTTGAAGAATAAGGAGGGTGGTGAAAAGAGTTAAAGGTGCCGTTATCCCTAAAATGATGACATATATGGTGGCGAAGTGTATGGCTCTGGAACACTGCCCGCCTAGAGAAATACCTAAAGTAGCTGTATGCATCAGCACATAGTGTCTGCAGATGGTATGCAGAATGCTCCAAGTCATCGCTCTGCAGATGTCAGGAATAAGGCCATTGCTATGTGCAGCTACCAATGTTGCCTAAGATCACGCTGTATATGTTCACATGCTGTCCTCAGGGGAGGAACTGTTCATCTTAGAGTAATATGCATCCCAAAATCCACTCAGCCCATGAAAGGAGATGGCCTCTCCTTTTACACATGCTGCAGATGTAAAGTCTAAGAGACTTTTGAAAAGACTTTGTTCTTTGCAGGAAAAAGGCAAGAGCCCTATGCATGCCCAATGAGAGCCATACCACCTCTTCATAGCCAGAAAGAGATATAGGGTAAAACACAGATCAATGGATACTTTGGCTGGTGCAACACCACCTGAGGGACAAGCTTAGGATGTAGTCTCACAGATGCCTTGTTGAAAACTACAAAATAGAGGGGGTAACCAAGAGCACCCCTAGCTCCAAGTCAAACCTTCTAGGAAACAGCAGAAAGATTACAAGCCCAAATCCCTAAATATGAAGGGAGAGAGATGTAAGTCTCCACCCCCAAAAAGGGTGGTCTGGGAAACCTAAAATCTTAAGCGGGTGCCTCACAGAATACAGCTTTTTCAGGAAAAAAATAGCAAAAAGAAAGAAAGCAAAATACCTGAAGTATTTCAGAAGTGAACATCTGAAAAAAAATAGGTGGTTGAACTATTTAAAGAAAGGCAGTTCCAACACTGAGGATCAGACAAAGATACAGCTAGTGGATTTGTTGTAACTAGTGACCAGAAGCAGAACAATGGTTTACATCTGTAAGGAATTTCCAACTCACTTGTAGAGTCCTGCAGGCATAGAAAATATTTGGAACCAACCCCAAGCAGAGAAACAAGGAAGAAACTGACAGCAGCTATGTTCCACCCAGGTATCCCACTGAAACAGGAGTGGTGCATAGCTCAACAGCTAGAGGAGGAGTGCTGCAACAAGGAAGTAATTTGGAGTCTGTACCACTCATGGGGACAGATACTCTTCACCTACTGTATTACAGTACACTGGCGCAGTTTCACCATCTCAAGCTGCTGTGCTGGAAGAGTCGCTCCATCTTAAACTGGTAATGCTTCTTCACTTCTTCCTTGTGCTGGCATCTGCCATACTGACGGATCTGGTACCCTTTTCTTCAACAACCAGAACTGTGGAAACGGTGCCAATGGCTGCATCTAGTTTCCCCCCCTCCAGAAGACTCTCTGTTCCCAGAACTGGAGTTACATCTCAGACTTCAGTGTCCTGTAGTAGGACTTTAGCCGCCACCAATATCTTTATGGTATCCCTCTCTGTCACAGTCTACAAGTAAGGGTCAAGCCAGACTATGTCTTGTACCATCAACAAGTAAATGCAGGTCATCACTGTCACAGTTCAGTCATTTCCATAGCTCTGGCATCTCACACACCAAAAAATAGGAAATTAAATCTCTAACACTATACTAAAAACTACCTAAGACATTTTTTAAAACTTCTAAAATCAGAGAGCAAGAACAGTGAAGCTCTGTCATAGTTCACAAGTGGCAAGAAGGAACTAAGATGATGGTGATCCAACAGCCACTTTTATGCCTTGGGTGCGGAGCTGATGGAGAATGGATGCACAGACCAGACATACACTGCTAGGAAAAAACTGCCATTCTGAGCACATGTACAACCTCAAGTACACTACACATAGAAACAATCACTTAAAGAACAAGAACTAAAAAGTAGTAACAAAACACAAAGGGTATGTCTATACTTGCCCCCTAGTTCGGACTAGGGAGGCAAATGAAGCATACCAAAGTTACTAATGAATGAAGTGTGGGATTTAAATATCCCGCACTTGATTAGCATATTCGCAGCCGGTTGCCATTTTAAAATGCCGGTAGCCCAAATTAATTCGATGCGGTAGTCCGATCCAAAACCCATCCCTCAAATTAACTGTTACTCCTTGATGCCTGTGAATGGGACCCCAGGTGGGCTCCAGCACTGGCCTCTGCCCAGCAACCCCACACTCCACCTCCTGGCCCACTGCAACCCTGCTGGGACCCCGCCTTCTCTTCTCCCTCCCATCTTGCCTCCCTCCTGGATCCCCATCTCCTGTCTGGCTCTCTAAACAATACCCCTCTCCCCCTACTCTCGAGGCCCTGAACTCTCCCCACCCCACACCTGCCCAGGAACCCAGCCTCTTTGTGCTGTGTACTGACAACCTCACCCCTGCCTGGGACCCAGGTGATTCTCCCTCCCTCTTTGTCTGAGGAAGGGGAACTCTGGTGTTCCCAGTGCCCATGTCCCCAAGTCCCTTCCTGTCTGGGGAAGGAGAGCTTTATTAAAATTGGAATTTTGATCCTATTTAAATAGGCTTTGTTTTAAATAATATACCTTTAACATTAAATTAAAAATTATGGCCTAAATTTATCATAACCTATTTAAATAACTTATGAATTGAATTTAAAAATTAAATAGAATATGTGTCCTGTCAACTTTTAAAGAAATTCTACCAGTTCACTAGTGTAAGTTGCTGTGTAAGCACCCGGAACCAGTGTTTACATCAGCAGTAGCTTCTTCTGCAGGTGACGAGAGAATGTTTTTATCACTTTGGTTTATTCAGCTAGTTCAATTCAATGATTAGTTCATTCACCGTTGCAAAACCGAGAGTTGATGAAGCAGAAAAATTTGTTTTCCTCTTCTCTCAGTAAAAAACTGGTTGAGAGCGTTCTAACATCTTGACGAACATGATAACTAGAATCGATCTGTTAAATTCACTATGGATATTTCCTTTGTTTAATAAATGAATTTTAGATGCAAAATGTGTTTTAAATCAATCCATCCTGCTTCAGAGGCTGTTTGGTCCATCCCTGAAGGAGAGAGCACAGGGCTGCACTCACGGAATAGGTCTTAGGCTAGTGGGGTTTAGTTGTCTGGTGCCTGTCTTGTTCTGGACAGTTGAGCTGGGGAATTGAAACAAAAGTTCTTAATCTCTTTGAACTGTCTTATTGTATAGTGAGGCTGATTCTTGTCCATGGACACCAAGGGTTGGACAGCTTATGTGTTGGGGTTGGAGTCTCAGTCATTATAAGGCTTCTAATAATAAAATCCCTTTGCAGAGTGAGGAGTGGGATTGGGACTCCAGCACTAGGTGATGTGAACAGCTGCATGCTTTGGAAGTCTTTAACTGACTTTCTGTGGATGACCCTGCCCTCCCATGTCCTCATGTGGAGAGTCCCTGGCTCTCTCCTAGGAGATGAAAATGCCTTGGGGTTTGGGCTCCCCCCGGAGCGCACGCCCCACCCCCCAGGAAGCCGCACAATCTACATTTGCGTGTGCACCCCCAGCAAGCCACGCAAGCAGCATTTGCGCACCCTCCCCAGACAGAAAAAAAAGGGGGGGGGGCAAAAAATGTTTTGCTTGGAGCAGCAAAAAACCTAGAGTCGGCCCTGGTGGGGTGGGGAGTGGTATTCACTCAGCAGCAGAAGCTCCCTGCTCCACACAAGGAGTGTACTGGTAGGGACGGGGACATAGGGAGGGAAGGTGTAAGTACCTGGCGGGATGGGAGGGGGCCAAAGAAGAGGGGAGTTTGGAGTGTGCATTAAGTACCAGAGAGGAGAGGTTTGATTACATCAATCTGATTACAGCAGCTGGGTTTGCCTGCAGCTTCCTGTGAGGAAACCCAGCATGCTCCTCTAAGCTTCCTGGTCTGGCGGAGAGGCTACAGACTGCATGGGGTAGGTGAGGAAAATGGTGGGGAAAGAAGGGAGTTTGAGGTGTCTTCACTTGTTTCCCTTTGGACTGCAGGCAGCAGGAGTCAAACTATCTCAGCACAGCAGCCCTAACTGGGCTGAAGACATAGGCCTCTCTCCTGGGCTGGGGGAGAGCAGATTGCATGAGGGAAAGTGGGGTAAAGAAGGGGTGGGTGGATGCTGGTGTCTATGTAGTGAAGTGGGGACAGAGGAGTATTTGTTTGGAGTTTAACTTGCTCCCATCTGCACTGCAGGAAGCAAGAGCCAGACTGTCTGTTTCAACACAGCAGCCCTGGTTGGGCTGCAGACATAGGACTCTCTCCTGGGCTGGGGCAGGCTATATGGGGTGGTGTCAAAATTTCAGGTGGGTTAAAAGGTTTTAGGCCGCTTTTGAATGCTGGAACAAAAGGACTAGCTCACGACATCCGCATGGTTCCATTCCAAACAAAGTTTGCATAGGTGTTAAGGGCTCAAGATAAAGAAATGGATTCTTTTCATTTTTTTTTAGTGTTGTAGGTATCTATGAACTCTAATCCATTATGACATATATTGTGTGCATACAGATGCAATGTAAAAACATGTGACCTCTTAAAAATAATTACCATAATGTCCACCAAAAGTTTGTGACTGGGTTTGCCTATCTGTGGTATAAAAAAGGTTGGGAACCACTCGTCTCATTTATAACTAAGGCTGCGTGTCGGTCACGGAGGTCAGAGATTCCATGACTTACCATAAACTCTGACTTCTGCAGTAGCTGGTATGGCTGAGTCCAGGGTAGCCCAAGCAGCTGGCCCCAGCAACAACCACAATGGTCACTCCTGAAGTGGGCCCACAGCCAGCTGCACCGGCCACTGCTGGAGTGGTCCTGGGGACAGTCACACCAGCTGCTGCACTGGCAGCCCCAAATATCTGGCCCTAGGGCCTGCCTGAGCAGTGGTCCTAGAGCAGGTGGAGCAGCAACCAGAGCAGCAGTCCCAGGGACAGCTGTACAAATCAGTGCTCAGCAGTCCTCAGCTGCTGGCCTCTCAGATGGCCCAAATAGCCACCAGTTGGGCTGGCCCCACAAGTCCAAAGATAAGATTGTCAGCCATGTTTATAGTCATAGTCACAGTAAAGTGGCATTGAATTTTTGTTTATTGCCTATAACCTATTCCTCATGACTTTTATTAAAATACCCATGATTAAAATATTGCTTTGTTTATGACTAAGAAGAAAATGAGTTATGCCTCATTATTAAAAAATAATGAACATATACCTGTTTTGCAATAATAAAATTTAAGTATGGGGTAAAAAAGACCAGAAATGTCAAGACTATTTCAAAATAGCCTATTTTAGTACCTGAGATTCTGATTTTGTTCCTCTCTGATTTCTCTGCCACTTCAATTCCATTTATGAACATATGCTGCTTCTCCAATCCAACAATTATTCTGTTTGCTTTCTAGAATAATCATTCCAGGAAACTTGTGCACACGACCACACAAGGCCCCAATCATGCAAGAAGGTTCACATGGCCGAGCATCTACATCCACAGACCACCACTGACTGCTTGGTGGCTCTGTAAGTATGGGGTCTGTCTAGACAGTCCTCTTCTGGTATTAACGTATAGATATGCTGCATTAGTTTTCAGTGCTAATATGGAAATGTGGTAAATAAACCTGATAAAACTTTTTCAGTTACACACAAGATATAAATTCATTACCATTTTAACAGTAGATGACGCAAACACTTTTAAGGGTGATCTACAAATACTTGGCCCCACCCCAGTGTGTGGGGTGGACAACATGGTATCATGAGGTCCCTTCCAGCCCCACATTTCTATGATTATGAAGCTTTGAGCAGCAAAAGTGAGTCTTTTAAGGCAAAGAAATTATCCAGTATTATCCTTCAGAGCTGTAAGAAGTGATAGCAATTTAGCTGGCCTAGCAACTGCTGGGCTATGTCTACACTCGCGGCTCATTGATCATAAGATCTTATAACTCACTGAGTTATAAGATCAAGAGCACATATTCCTGCTCATCCAGAAATATAATTTATGCTATCGTGTGCCAACAGTGTCCGTCTGCTATGTACAATGGACAAACATCTCAGACACTTTGCCAAAGAATCAAGGCACGCAAAACAGATATTAGACAGGATCACAAAGAAAAAAGTTTCTTGCCATTTCAACTAGAAAGGGCATTGTCTCAAGGACTTAAAATGTCTTTGAAGCAGGATGCAGGTAGTTAACACCAGACTTGAAAGAGAATCCTCTGAGCTGTCATTCATGCTTAAATTTGACACTTTACACCTAGGTCTTAACAAGGATGCTAATTATTTTACCCATTACAAAGATAGCTTCCCTAATTATCACCTCCAATATCATTAGCTCACAGGCATTTACCTCCCCGCACCTTCCCCCTTCTATTCTGAAATGTGATTTGTCCTTTTCATGTGTGTCCATTTTTTTTATTGTATCCTTTGGTAGAGATGGTCATGCCAATTTTCTTCCACTATTTGATCTGAGGAAGTGGGTCTGGCCCATGAAAGCTCATCACCTAATAAACCATCTTGTTAAGTCTTTAAAGGGCTACATCGTCCTGTTTTTTATTAAGGGATAGTAAGCAAGACACCTGTGCCAGGGGCCCATACAGTGAAGGTGCTCAGGATTCAGCCTTTAGGTGGCCGGGCTCTGCGGCCCAGGCTTTAGCCCATGTAGCAGCGCTTCGGGTGTGCGTCCTGCGCCCCAGCAAGCCTAGTGCCCACTGCTTGGCGGACACCCCTGCAACCGGCTTAGAGCCGCCGCTGCCCCGGTCCCCGACTGCGAACCTCAGGCATCAGGCGGG